AAGTTAGTTATTATAACAGGGCCATTTACTGACACTTGGACAAAGGTTAGTATTAACGTGAAGGGGTTCTCAGATCCAAGTGAAACTGCTGGTTCACTTACCTTCCAGACATCTCAGATTCAGAATCCTTTAAACACCTCAACTTAATGTGTACAGACAGAACTCCTCAGACATACATACTCCCAACACTCACCAGCCACCAGCTTCATTGCCTGTATTCCTATCTCACTAAATGATGCTGCCTGAGTCTAAAACCCAGGAAGCATCCTTAATGCTCTTTTTCTCTCCTTTTTTGCTAAGAGAAAACAGAAGAACATAAAATGTGATCCCTGCCTAGTTGCTTACATCTCAAGTAGCTCAAGCAGCTTACATCTGCTTGGAAAGCTAAGACAAAGACAAGTCAACTAAAGACACAAATTATATGATAAATGTACATGATTCCTTATGATTGCCAATGTATTTTACAAACCACTATGTAGCTTAGGAGTTCAGGAAAAGATACAGTCACTCCAAGTGGAGATGGTTTTGAAATAGCCCAGGATGTAACTGATAAAGAGGACCCTACAGCGTGCCTTGATGATCTGTGGTTCTCCAGTACATTATCCCTGATCCTCTCTTTTTTGCCAGGAAAACACACATACAAATGACCCTTTGTTGATATCTCTCTTTCAAGCAAGGTTGCTATTTGTAATTTTAATCTTTTTATCTCCTGAGCTTCCCACCAGCAATCGCTGTAAATGCCTCTTAAAATTGGTATAGCCTGTGACTGCCTCTCTGATCCTTTTCTTCAGCACCTCGATGCTATACTGCCATTCCAGGCTAGAGTTCAGTGGGTACTGATAATGTTTTTGCAGTGTGTCTTAGATTTGAAGGCACCTTCCCCTTGCCTTGGTGCTGTGAAATAGATACCTGCCTACCTACCTGTAGTTATCTGTTCTGTCTTTGGGGACTAAACAAGCCTAATTGCCACAGCCACCGTTTCAGGGCTAGTTTGATGGCCCTTTGGAAGACTTTTTTACATTAGTTGAGGTTAATAAAAATATTGAAGTACTATTATTGAGACATGGGATAGCAGCAGATCCAAGTCTCACAACCATAAAAGTAGATCTCACCTGTGGATTAATTATTACTCAGTTTTTTATTCTGGGTGGACATCACTTTTTTAAAAAGTGCTTTCTCAGTTTCCTACAGAGTACTTTGTCCTCTTGGGTACCTCTTGATTTCATTAATTTCTAAGCATATTTACTTTTGTATTGGTTTTTAATCTTCTTTGTTTGTTTTCTTATTTATTCTGAGAGAGGGAGGCAGAGAGAGAGGGGGAGAGAGAGAATCCCAAGCAGGATCCACACTGTCAGCACAGAGCCTGATGCTACACTCAAATTCACAAAACATGATACCCTGACCTGAGATGAAATTCAGAGTTGGTCACTTAACCTGAGCCATCCAGGTACCCATCTAAGCATATTGTTCACCCCAAATACTAAAGCCTACTTCCAGAGCACAACCCTAGGGATGGAGCAGTGTTGAGAAGATTTTCACCCTTTGATGATGGTTGTGCTTGTCAAGTTGAGGAGAACAGTTTATCTCCAGTTTTTCTCTGCAATAAGTTGCCATGACATTTCTTAATCTTTTTTCATAAACCTTGACCAACACTTTTTACCTTTTTTGTGTGCTGCTAAAATGCACTTAGAGTATATATTTTTATGCATTGAAAAGGCAGCGGTATCCCACTTATTTGTAGTCACCTATCTCAGTAACATCAGAAACACATCCAAAAATAAAAAAAAAAAAAAACTGAGAAATAAAGGCCTCTGAGCAGTTGAAGTTGTTAGAAAATCCATGTACTTTACTCATAAAACTATTCCTGAGAACTTCATTCTGAGCCTGTTTACTTTTACTTCAAGGACCAGTCTAGCTCTTGGGACAGGGTTCCTCTGCTGACAGGCAGAGCACTCCTGACCATAAAAGTAGGGCTTCTGGCCACAGCTACTATCTGGAAGCCAGTAAAAAGGAAGATGTTAATAACACAGATTGCCAGCGTGACTTTTTTGTAGTAAGGCAGTCAGATTTACTTAATTGAGTAGCCCCCAAAGCTATCAAGGCATTTTAGTTCAGTATAATAAAAGTAATGGCTAAACTTTAATAATAGTGCACATGATAACAACCCTGAGTCATTAAGAAAGAACAAATTGTGTTCAGAGGAGGATATAATTTTTAAAAGACTTCTATCAAAAATATTTTAAAAATTTTAAGTGTTTGGTACTTGAAGTATAAACTTTATGGAGAAAATTCACTCTAGGTTGTAAGAAAGCATTAATTCACATCTCTGAGTTATTAAAGTATGTTTACTGTGACTAGCTGACAGCAAAGGTAACTGATGACTTGGTCGTTTTTCCTTTGCACTGGTCCTAAGTGCAAGAGGGGGCACGTGCTCTATTAAGACTAAAACTGGTTGTTTTGGCCAAGGTTGCACAACTAGTTAAGTGGGAGAATACTCCCCACTGTCTCCCAGTGCTGTATCCTGTGACAACATATTCTGCCATTGGTACCACCTGCTAGACATAGCAGCAGGGTACATCCCAGAAGAGTTCTTCCAGGACCAACGTCTGTGTGAGCTACACAGCGTGCAGCTGCATGAGGAGTGTGTTAAGTTCCTGTGTACATGTCATTGTGTCTGAAAGTTTAAAATGACTTAACCGTCACTGACCCAAGGGTATCACTGGTGTCTCTCCTTTTCTAAATTCAGGAAGGAGATATTTGCAATTCTCATACAGCAGGAGGAGCTTCTTCCCGGTGACCTTTCAGATGTTGCCTTTTTGAAACTTTTACTGAAGGACAGTGTATAGGCAGGAAAATGCACATATTATAAGTATACTGCTCAGTGAGGCTCTCTCCCTGTTGCCTTTTGTCTCTTCTTTGTTAGATTTTGGCTCTGTTACCAGCACATAGTTTAAAGTTCACCATCCCCAGGATCACAGTTGGTGGGTTTGAGCCCTGTTTTGGTCTCTGTGCTGACAATTCAGAGCCTGGAGCTTGCTTCAGATTCTGTGTCTTCCTCTCTCTGCCCCTCCCGCACTCAAGTTCGCTCTCTCTCTCTCTGTGTCTCTCTCTCTTTCTCTCTCTCTCAAAAATAAATAAACATTAAAAAAAATTTTAAGTTTACCATCCCCATGCACCTGGTATAATATTTCTGAAAGAATCTTTTTTTCTTGGTTTATTCACAATTCAATGACCAGTTTCAAATTTAAAGTAGGCATCTGTTAAGACATTTTGTAGTCTTTCCAATCTATAGTCTCACGTAGGTCCTTTCAGATGCCCATGACACCACTAACTAAAACTGCTGCCTTGCTAGTTGTGAAAATAAAAACACAGTGGAATCTTTCTTCATGCAGAGTAGTTTAAACAACAGATTTGACTAATAGTTTCTTGATTTTATTCTGTTTTGTATTTAGACATGATGTTTTGGCAACTTTTTACCACCTGGTCTTAAAAATCTCCCTGAGTCCAGAAAGGGTGAGCGCCTGTTCTTTGGTGCTTGGTGTTTTGTGTGTGCTTTCTAACATCTCACAACAGTCCTTTGAAATATCAATCCTGAGTTCCAACTCAGTTTCAGATGAGGAAACCAAGGTTCAGAGAGGTTAAGTAATTTGCCTAAGATCCTGTAGCTAGTAAATGTCAGAGCTAGAAGTAGAATGTGAGTTTTTCATATTCCACAATCTGTGCTCTTTCCATTAAGAGCACACTACTTCAGAGGCCAGAGGGGTGTGAGGAAGGTGAGGAAGGTAGGAGGCCAATGTAGGCTGTCATAGGGTAAGCCCTGCTGGAAAGGCACCTCATGGCTGGGAGATAAAGTCAGAGATTGAAGAAAAGAAGAATTAGCTGGAAGAGACTATCAATAGTCTCAACGCCTGTTTGAGTTTGTTAAACTCCCCTCAGTACTTCACCAGTTTCATAGTCAGATAATAGTATCTTGAGGAATTACAGTTCAGAGAGAGAGAGAAATTGAAAAGTTGTATAAAAGTCCAGAAAATTGGAGCACTTCAACTATTTGGGCTTAGTAAAACCCAGACATCCAGAAACAGAGCAGCTCTTGAAAACACTCAGCTGTCTGAGCAGGAAATGGTTTTAGCCTGTCTTGAATCTGGTATCATCCTTGCCCGCCACCCTCCACCGGGTTAAACTCTAGAGTTGTCCTGGATAACTTAGGGAAGTGATTGACAGGGGCTGTCTGAAGTAAAATGACTTCTTGTGGAGTACTGTAAAATGCTCCTTGAAGGCTGAGGAGAACGTAGCAGGTGGGGGCTTGCCGCCTCCTTGCAGTGACAGAACCTTACAGTTTACAATGAGATTTCCTATTTCCTTGCTTAGAGCCTAGGAGCCAGCAATTGCTTGTAATTCCATCTTTCAGTGTATCTGAATTGTGAAATTATTGATCTGTATTTCTCATTGCCCTAGAAGGGAACAGAAGGATTCCTGTGTTACTGTTTGCAGAATTATGAGTCCAACCAATTAGTCATGCTGAGAAACCATGTTAAAACTATAATTTCTCTAAATATTTCCAAACCAAGATTTGCAATATAGTGTGTTGAATTTTTGTCAGTGTTGTGGACTTACAAATCAATGATTATTTCACAGGAATACCCAGGCCCAAAACAAAAGTATATGTTGACCTACTGGAATTAATAATGTGGCCAAAATTTTATTTTCCAAAAAATTCTTTTCAATGGTATTTCTTCTCTATAAGATAAAAATTACTGTGAATGCTCTCTTAAAAAGTATAAACAATGTTACTAAAATTTGAGACTCTAACAGGGCTGGCCTTCTATTTTAATTAGATAAATACCCCTCATTTATGGAATGAAATTTATGTGGGCGCTTAGAAGCAGTTTTAGAGTGTCCGTTCTCTTTACAACATGAGTAACATCTGGTGAATTTCATAGTGTGAAAATGTTCTTTGGAGAATAACCATACTAATTTCTTCTTTCTCTTTGTCTGTCTAGTGAGAAATCAACAGAGGCTATAGCAGTAGATTCTAACAATCAGTCGAAGTCCCCACTGGAGAAGTTTATGGTCAAACTGTGCACCCATCATCAGAAGCAGTTCATTCGTGTTCTGAACGATCTGTACACTGAATCTCAGCCAGGCACCGAGGACGTGCGACCTGATTCAGGAGCAATGGACGCATCCACTTGCAGTGCAGGCTGTGCCCAGCTAGGCACCAAACATAAGGAAAAGGATGCTGTGTGTCTCAATATGAAGTCTCCTACTTCTGTAGATTTGTTCATAGACTCATCGGGCTCTCACAGCCCTCTACGCTTGACAGAACAGGCCCTGAAGGAGTCCCCTCCCGAGACAGAGTCTGTAGATGGAAGAGAGAATGCCTTGAATATTATCCAGAAAGATTCCTCTGAGCTACCAACCACTAAACCTAATTCTGGTAGTTCAGTGGATAGTTCCACTCTGGGATACCTCACTGCATCGAATTCTTCCTCATTAAACTTCCACCACATCTCTAAAAGCTTGGAGGGGCAAACCACTGGACAGGAGCAAGACACAAATGTGAAAATACACGAGGATGGTAAAGACCATATGCAGAGCTCAGCTTTAGTAGAAAGTCTAATTACAGTAAAAGGGGCACCTGAGAATAGTGAGGAGAGCAACAGCTGTCTTATTTCTCAAAGAAATTCATTCAAAGCTTTATCAGAAGAGGCTTGGGACTCAGGGTTTACGGGGAACTCACCTAGAACTGCTGACAAAGAGAACGCTTTACTGTGTAGCTCAAAGACACCTTTGCGCCAAGAGTTAGAGTCCAGTGAACAAGATTCAAGGCCAAAGCAGGAGAACCATCTTCACTCACTAGGAAGAAATAAGGTGAGTTATCATTTACATCCCAGTGATAAGGGCCAGTTTGATCATTCCAAAGATGGTTGGTTAGCCCCCAGCCCGATGCCCTCTGTACACAAACCATCTAACGGACATTCGCGAACCAAGATGATATCAACCTCCATTAAGACAGCTCGGAAAAGTAAAAGGGCATCAGGGTTGAGGATAAACGATTATGATAACCAATGTGATGTCGTTTATATCAGTCAGCCAATAACAGAATGCCACTTTGAGAATCAAAGATCAATATTATCTTCTCGGAAAACAGCCAGAAAGAGTACTCGAGGATACTTTTTCAATGGTGATTGCTGTGAGCTGCCAACTGTTCGCACACTGGCCAGAAATTTACATGCCCAAGAGAAAGCAAGCTGCTCAACACTGGAGCCAGAGGCAGTGGTCACTCCCAAGGAGACCCTTACACTTCCAGCCCCTGGACCCACCATGGATGTGCAGCATCCCAGAGAGGATGACCACGAAGAACCTAGTAAAGAAATAACCTCCCTCAAGGAAGGAAACAGAGATGCTTCCTCTGAAAAGGAATCTCAAGAGCCTGAGGTTTACCCCATGACAAATAAACCAAATCTGAGCAGCTCTCCTAGGTCACAGGAAATGACAGCCTCCAGCCTGGCATTGTCTCTCCCTGTTCACCTTCCTGAAGAGGACACACCAGAAAGCAGCTCCATGGTCTCAATTCCTATGGCAAGTGGGATGGCTTCCCCTGAACGAGACCAGCAACCAGTCGAACTGCTAGAAATCAAGGAGGGGACTGTCCCCCAAGACTGTCACCTGGTTTCCTCTCTTGAGAGCATTTCTGAGGGAGGCAGTGAAGATGTTGTTTCTAGGCTTCATTCTTCTCCTGAAACAGTCAGTAGAGAGGAAGGTCCTCCATGCTCAGAAAGTCAGAGTCCCCCAGTGAGCTTGGAGCCTCCTCTGAGCCTGGGAAACACTGAAGACAACCAAAGCATCAGTCCTGAGGCTGAGACTGAAGACACTCAGGAGCTAGATACTGACCCACTCATGAAGGAAAGCAGCACTTTGACTAATGAAAACCCCAATGAAATTGAGGAAAGTGAGACAGCAGGTGGTACAGGAAAATTAGAGGGACAGAGTAGTGATGCAAAACATTTTTCAGAAGAAGATATGTGTGATCAAAACATTGACTCACCCGAAGAGAATTTGGACAAGAAGAAAAAAGGTAAAAAACTCCCTGAGGCCTCTGACAGGTGCCTAAGAAGTCAGCTTTCAGATCCTTCCTTTGCTGATAGGTGTCTAAGAAGTCAAAGTTCAGATTCCTCCTCTGCTATTCCTGAGATCAAGGTTTCCAAAAATCCTGGTATGAAACGTTCTAAAAAAGAAGGGTGCCCTGGTGAGACACCACCCGAGGGCCTTCTGGCTGACAGCTTCCATGCAAAAGCTCTGGAGGACACTGAAAACCCAGATGTTGATGAAAACCCCCCTGAGAAAGATGTGGAGCAGGAGGGCAAAGAAGGTGGGGTCATCACCAGGCAGACTTTTAAAAACATGCTGGTAAAAGAAGTCAAAGAGGAAGAAGGAGGTATTTTCCCCAGCAGTGATCCCATAACCACAGTAGGCCAGCCCCTGCCTGGAGAAAGACTGGAAATCTATGTTCAGTCTAAGTTAGGTGAGAAAATTGCTCATGCTCCCTCAGAAAGTGTTCCTTGTACTTCCCCAGAACAATCAAAAGAGAAGCCGGAACCAATTCCTGTACACGATACAGAGGAGGTTGTGAATGAGGTTGGTGGTGCAAATACCCAGCATAAAGGTGACGAGAGTCGTGCACCGTCCAGTGCACTTGGCTTGTCAAGTAGTGGAAGTGGTGACACAGCCGGTCCCCCACAGTGGGCCCCGAGGCTTACAAGACTGACCTCTTCAACCTACAATCTAAGACATGCTCATTCTCTGGACTCCTCGGATACTGCAAAAGTGACTTCAGAAAAAGAAGCAGCACAGGGAAACCCAAAGCCAAAGGAAAATGGGGCTTCAGAGAATGGAGATCCCTTAGACGAGGATGGTGTGGACACGATGGTGGATGACCAGCCGAAGTTTGTGGAATGGTGTGCAGAGGAAGAGAACCAAGAGCTCATTGCCAACTTCAATGCCCAGTACATGAGAGTCCAGAAAGGCTGGATCCAGCTGGAGAAGGAAGCCCAGCCAACGCCAAGATCAAGGAGTAAGTCAGATAAACTGAAGGAGATTTGGAAAAGCAAAAAAAGGTCGAGGAAATGTAGGGGCTCGTTGGAGGTTCAAAAGTTTTCTCCTGTTCAGATGCTGTTTATGACAAACTTTAAATTATCCAATGTTTGCAAATGGTTCTTAGAGACAACTGAAACCCGGTCTCTGGTGATCGTGAAGAAGCTCAATACTCGTCTTCCGGGAGACATCCCCCCTGTCAAGCATCCTCTTCAGAAGTACTCTCCTTCCAGCCTGTACCCCAGCTCACTACAGGCCGAGCGCTTGAAAAAACACCTGAAGAAATTTCCTGGAGCTACTCCTGCCAGGAACAATTGGAAAACACAGAAGCTCTGGGCTAAATTTCGAGAGAATCCTGACCAAGTGGAGCCAGAGGACGGCAGTGATGTCAGCCTTAGTCCCAATTCTGAAGACAGCGTAGAGGAAGTCAAGGAAGCTAGAAATAGCCATCCTCCCACAAACTCCCCTACCCCAGCCAGTACTCGGATCCTCAGAAAATACTCCAATATTCGAGGAAAGCTCAGAGCCCAGCAATGTTTGATCAAGAACGAGAAAATGGAGAGCCCATGTGGACAGGCTGTGGAGAGTAAACCAAGTTGTAAGAGTGTATGCATCAACCCTCTGATGTCCCCCAAGCTTGCCCTGCAAGTGGATGCAGATGGGTTTCCCATTAAGCCCAAGAGCACTGATGGAATGAAGGGAAGGAAAGGGAAGCAGATATCTGAAATCTTGCCGAAAGCAGAAGTGCAGAATAAACGCAAGAGGACAGAAGGTGGCAGCGCTCAGGACAGGAAGGACAAGGGACCTGCAGTGAAAGCCAGCAAAGAAAAGCATAGTGATGGATCCACCAAAACCCCTGCTGCCAAGAAGCCAGCTGCAAGGGACAGAATCGTCCAACTACCCAAAAAGACATCCTTGAAAGAGAATAAAGTGAAGATCCCCAAAAAGTCCCCTGGGAAGAACTGCCCTCCCTCTAGGAGGGAAAAAGAAAATACAAACAAAAGACCCACCCAGCCAGCCACCTCGGAGACAGTTATGAAACCTGCAAAGCATAAGGGGGCAGGTGAATCCTCTTCAAGGCCACAGAAAGCCACCAGCAGGAAGCAGAGCAGTGGAAAGGCTCGGGCCAGACCCTTGACGAAAACCCCAGAGAGCAGTGTGGCCCAGAGAAAGCGAAAGCTGAAGGCAAAGCTGGACTCTTCCCACGGCAAACGGAGACGGCTGGATGCAAAGTGACCGCAAGGCTGGTAGCCCAGAGTTAAACTGTCCTACAGAAGTAACTCTTCATTTTGCATTAACTAAACCTGCTTTTATAAGCTTATCCAGCCTTTCAAATCTGCAGTTAATGGAGAACACCACAATTTAAGATGTCAAAAAATGCATCTCAGATGGAGAAGGGAACTTGCAGAGTCTTTCTCTGAGGCTGAGTAAGGGAAGTTATATATTATATTCTGGTTGTTCCTTGGGTTTTAAACTTGGAACCAAGCAGTTTTAGTTTTTAAAAGTACAGTGCCTTATTTATCCTTTTTGTTTTTAAATTTACAAAAGCTAAAAAGCTGATCTATGTGATTAAAGGCTTGTATTTTATACTTGATGCACAAGCACTTGTACTGTAGCCGAGAAGACCACCATCATGCACATAAAAGTAGCTTTTCAGCAGCCACCCTGTGGTGTCTGTACCTGAACAGACACTCCTCTTTGCAAACCCTAGCAGTGAACTTCCCTCTCTGTCTTGTTTGTTTGTTTAAATGATATTCGAAAGCTAAACCAAATCACTTTTATGGTATGTAGAGAAGGCAGAGGGAATTTATTATTATAAAAGATGAATATTTCTGTTACCCTTTTTAAAAAAATCCTGTTCATTATTGGTCACTCCTCTCACTTTTGATCCTTTGTCATTTGAGAAGATATATTCTAAACTATATGCCCATGGGACAGAAGATGTGTCACATGGTGTTAATATTGGGTTATGACCTCTAAAAATTGTTTAGATCCCCCAGGTGATTCGCATTACTGATTCTTGCCATCATTTTAACTTTTGGCCTTGCAAGCTTGCTAGCGCTCTAACGAGGTTGTCATCCAACTTTGGGGGGAAAAAATGTAGGATTTTTTTTTCATCTTGTAACTGTAACTTGACAATTAGCCTAAGAGTGACTGTTCTAATATTCTTTCTTACCCTGAATACTTCCATATTCAAAGAAAGCCAGGTTGTTATTTCTAGTAATAGAAAAGTTTAAGAGTTTGTGCATGTGCATTTGCCTGTGGCTGTTAGCCACAGGTGTCTCCCAGCCCCAGTTGTGCAGTAAAATTCTTTGTTGCCACGCAGTGTGCTGGGGCGTTCACGAGCTGGTAAATTAGCACAGGCCGGATGGTTTAAATATGGCCCAGGGTCTCTGTGAGAGAGTTTGGCAAGAGACTCAGAAAGGTCTAAACAGCAGAGTTATGTAAAGGTCAGAGCAAGTTTGCTGTTGGAGGAAGCAGCCCCGTCTCAGTGGGCCCGCCCCGCCCCTCCCACATGGAGCTGACGTCCAGTTGGTGCGTTCCCATGTGAATGTACGTGTTTAGAGCAGGTGTTAGCATTCTAGTTGGTTAGCACCATACTGGTAGGTAATGCTTGTAGTGTTACTCCTGCCTCTGTCATGTCAGGCTCTGTTCCATGGCTCAGAATTGAGAGCTGCGGGGTCTGTAACTAATGTTGTTTGCCTTTCCTGAGTGACGCCTAAGGTGGTTGCATTGGCTTTACCTTGATGCCTATAATGTTACTCCATTATAACACCGTGTGAATTCCACATTTCCACTGCGCCACTCCACAAAAAACGCTTGGTTGTTCAAGCTTCAACCAGCTTCTCTAACATGCTCCGTCACAGAAGTAGGCTTGTGTGGACAGGTGCCACTCTGTCCGTTTTACTCAAGGTTTTCCATTTAGATTGTTCAGATCTGTTTAGTCCATTCAGATCTGGATGGACTTTTTTCATGTATAGTTCAGCCAAATCACGATAAAACAGGCCTTCTACCCATTCTGTGAAAAGTTTGCTCTATATAATGAAAACTTCTGATGACTGGATAGGACTGGAGAAAAGCATGTGATTCATGGGAAATTGAAAATTGCATTGAATTTCATAGATAAGGAAGCTTACTATCTTCAATGAAGCCTTGACTTTTTTTTTTCCCCTCCAGTGTCTCCTCTATCCCATGAGTCTCTTTTTTCTTTTTAATATCTTTGACTTTGGCCATTCAAGAGCTACCTATATTAATGAAACTGCTGAGTGTGTATGTTGGCAGCCCTTTCTCAGCATTAAGTTGCACAGAAGCATTAGTATGTTTTGAGTAGGTTTGGTTAATCTTTTAAAAGTGGTTTTAAAGTTTAAAAAAATATTTTCATATAGTCGTCACTGGATACTGTTTTTGTGGTGACTTAACCAGCTGAGGTCTGCCGATGTTCGCTGCACATAGACTGCCTTGTAGCGGGGCTCAGATTAATTTAGGGAGAGGTGTGGGGCAGTGTAAGTGGGTGGGACTCCTCCAGTTTCGGGTTTATAATTCATTCCATTACTTTTCTAAGTGCTTTTTCATTTTAAAAAGCTTACTTCAAAATAATGGCTTTTTCTCCCATCTTAGGCAGCCTTTGAGAAAAGGTATGCATGTGTATGCATTTTTTTATACCCTGCAGTGGATCATCTTTAAAATCAACTTACACTTTATAGTAGTAGCTGCATTTAAATAGCCTGGGATTCTACGTAATTAGAACACTTAAAAGTTTAGAATTATTTTTATATTTGTTGAATCTCATTTTTGCTGATTCAGTTAATTTTGCTAATAAGAAAAAGGAAACAAACAAACTTGAGGGCTGGCTCTGGAACGCCCTTTTACACTTAGAGCCAATGCTGGCAAACCTGTCTCCTAGACACCTCCGAGCCAGACTTGGAATTAACTCAAGTACCCCCTTGTTTTCCCTGTCTCGCAAAGACCTCCCTTTTAAAGCCATCTTCAGAGTATGGCTTGCCACCCACCAGATGCAGAGGCAATCTGTCCGACATTCCAGATTCCAAATTAAGAAAAAAGGAAATTCTGCTCCTGGGCCTATACTCAGTGAAGTGACTGTCCCAGTGTTGGAGCTGAAGTTGATGACCAGAGAACACTGGTATTACCTCTGAACTTCTGGGAGAGCTGCAGGATGCCTGGGAAGCAAGGACTGAAGCTCTACCATGGCTCCCCAGGGCTGGGCCCTCTTCAGGTGACCCATTTTCTGTCCCCTGTTTTCTAGCCCCTCAGCTTCCCTGGGCTTGGGAGGACAGCATGGAGACTGCTCCCCAGTCAGGGTCCAGAGCCTCCCTCACAGCACTCCCTCAGACACACAGCAGTCTTGCAGCACAGCAGGAAGGCAACGAACATTTATTCTGCTCTTAAGGCTTCCTGCATTGGAATGTCTGTCACTAGTGTGTTTGTATCTGCAATTGCTAGTCCCTTAGGCTGGTTCTGTTGCATCTGTATTTCAGTAAAGATTTCTACACAAGCCTTATCTAAAAACAATAACCTTGGGCTGTGGGTTTCATCCTTGCACTAGTATGGCTAGGAGGGGCGCAGGTCATCGACTCTTCACAGGTGTGCTGCTTCTGAGGGGCTCCTCTGTGCATCACACGCTGTTCAGATAGGACATCGGTGAAACACACCACTTCAAGACAGTTGTTCTGAGCCGAGGTTTGATCTCTTTCCTGCCTTGTGGTGGATTCGTGGTGAGAGCTGAGGCTGTCACTCTACTCTGTGGGCAGCCTTCCTGCTGATTGAAGGACCTAAGAGCTAAGTAGGAAAGGACAGCACGCTACATGATGCAGTTTGGACATGGTGTAAGTACCACCATCAGCAAGGCTGGTGGCTTGTCATAGCACCAGGCGCTGTATTGGAATCTCCCAGGGTGCCAGGCCAGGGAGCCACACCCATTCCTGTTGGTTTTCTGTCAGCCCATACAGGCTGTCTTTTGGCTTACAGAGGATCAAGGGTCTGCAGGATATGGGCTGGTCACTCTTTTGTAAATAAAAGTTTATTGGAACCTAGCCATGCCCATTTGTTTGTGTATTTTCCTCGGCTGCTTTCCAGCAGAGCATCGTATCTACAACAGAGACCAAGGGCCTGCAAAGCCTAAAAGATTTACGTCTGGACCTTTCAGAAAAAGTTTGTTGACCCTCCTTCCTTAAGAAAATAATCCTTCCTCAGTAACAAATTTTGCCTGATTTATCTCCTCCTTTTTCCTCCCCACCTCCCTGTCCTCTTCTTTTCTTCTCTTCCCCCCTTATCTTCCCTCAGTTTTGTTCTTCCTTTTACACTTCTTTATTTCTTCTTGCTACAGAAGAGACACGGTATATTGCTCTAGCACACTGACGGCCACCTGCCGACTCGTGAGCTGCTACAGCCTCACACCTCCCTTCTTAGAACTGCCTGTCACTGCAGCCAGTGCGAGGCCACCTTTAGCCTCGAAAGTCAGACCCCGTGAGCAAGCAGGGCTTCAGAGTTCTAAGTGTGGCCTGGGCTCTCATTTCACTGGGTCTTTATTGTAGACCTGACTCCAGCCTCACTTCTTGTTTGTCCCTAAGGTAAGCCAAGATGTGGTTTTTCTCAAAATTAGTTGAAAATACTTTGGTTGGATGCTCCATTTTCTGACCCTCACATTTAGGTACAGAAAAAGCCTTTTCACAGAAGGCAAAACAAAGTCCAGTCACTAACCCAAAGTATTTATTATATAATATTTTGGGCCAGCTTCTAGGAAAATAAAAACATGTCAGCACTAATATTGTTTTAGTCATATACTCTCCTTTCAAAATAATTCTATTAAAGGCAAGCCAGCAAATGAAAAATAGGGGCTTTGAATGTGCTTTTAGGCAAGAATAGAAAATTAGGGCATATTACAACCTGAGTGTGACTGAGAAGTTGTGGATTCTATCTTTGGGTTGAATCCAGTCAGCTTCCAAACTGTTGGTCTTCCCTGTCCCCCAGAACTCAAAGATAAGCTTCCATACTGGGAGTTTTTTCCAAGGAAAGTTGTATGTCATGCCAGTGAAAAAATTTAAGTCAATGGCCACAGAACAGTGACTATTTCAATTATTTTGAAACAGATAGTTATCAGTTTGACTTCTCAGCCATTAATTGTTGTCTTCTCACTGCTTGATATGCACTGAAATCCTGGAAATTTTCTTGTAGATCACATTGGCAAGGCAGTCCTCACACACACACACCCCCACCCCCCGGCAGTAAGTATTCTTCCCCGGGCTTGCTCCCAAATTCTTTTTCAGGGAAAAAATGAAAATAAAAGATTATTGTATTTAAAACAAGCAGAATTATGGAAAGCCTTTTGAGGCAACGTTCAGTTCATTCCATGAAATGTCAGAACAGACTGCTTGTTCCTAGTGGACAGATTGGAAGACTTGAAGGTCTGACCTCTTTCCCTTAGAGATAATAAGTCACACTCAGGCAGAAACACAGAGCTCTCTGATGGCACTTCTGACGTAGGCATTTGCCGTGTCATGCTGGGCACCCGGAGAAGCGCCCAGGGCACTTCTGCAGAGGGTATGCTTGCTCATGCATGCTCTTGGGATTGAGCCAAAGCTGATCAGTTCCTTCCATTACCTCCTGTCTGTCTAATCTTTCTTTTCCCAGAGCCCCGGTGCTGTTTGCTCGGTGCTTAGGAGACACCCGTAGCTTCATAGCTTCGTGTTTCAGGGCGGGTGTGGTGTAGTTAGGCCCACCTGGCAAGTACTGTGATGCTCAGAGGCTTTCTCAGAGGCCTGAGACCACCCCACCCAATGCAAGGTGGTCAGTAGGCAAAGGACGTGAAGGTACAGACTGCCCAGACACAGGTGCTCGTGGTTTTATAGTATGCCAGAGGTTGGGGGAATGCATTTTACCTTTTATTTTTTAAAGGATTATATTAAAAAAAAAAGAACAGAGACCAGATGTAGCAGACACAGCCTAAAATATAAAATATTCACCACCTGGCTCTTTACAAAAAGGCTTACTGCCCCCTTGCAGTATGTCATTCAGGATCAGTTATGAGGACAGCTGGGCACAAGCAGTTTTCTCATGTAAGCTAGCACTGCACCATGTCCTTCCTTTTCACCTGTTCGTCTCGGCACACAGCTGCTGTTGCACATTATTTCCGAGCAGTGCCTGTGCACTAAAGAAGAAAATATTCCCCTTCATTGATTGAATATTTGTTGAATCGGGATCTGATCTGCTAGGATAAGTAGTTAAAACTAGAAGTGTGAAGTCTTCTACGTTTTCCTCTGTGGCAGTGCTCCCCACAAAGACTTGGTAATGAACCTGAAGCCCAGAACAGCGCCTCCCCTGGCTGGCACAGGCATGCCTCTTTCACCCTCTAGAGCCCTCCTCCTCCTTTGTCTGGTACAGTATGTTTGCCAGCTCACTCCCCAAGTTCTGGTCACTGCTTGTGAACCTGAACGCTGGCCTGAGCCTGTCTGAACTCGAGTCCAGCCCGCTCACTCCCCAACCTCATGAACACCAGCATGTTGATGGCCCCTTGTTGGCACACCAGCAGCTGTAGCCTGAAGTTCCGGGCTCTCTGGCCTGGCTCACCTCATCCTGAGGAGCCGTCCTTGGACCCTCCCCTCTTCCCTCTTCTGCTTGTGCCATCCAGCCCCCTTCTAGGAGGGCTCTTCTCCGGGACAGTCCCACACCTCCCGAGCACGTCACTGAGCACAAACGTGTCATACTAGACGCATCTTTCTCTTCTTCGTAACTCTTAATTTACCTTCTAGAATTTAGCCACTGAGTCCAAATACTCTTCCATTTATCAGCTTTTCCAACCCACTTGTTTTCTATAATCTGCACCTCCTGCTGGCTTGCAGCTGAAGCTATAGTGTTTAGGAGGTAGTTGGTGGGAAAGACGCCATACAAACGAGATTTGCATAATCTTGTATGTTTATACCACAGGTAGGGATTTGTTTTAGAGCTACTGTATCTTAAGGGAATTAGTTTCACCAGTGTTCTGGGAGACTATGTGTTCCTGACTATGATTTCAAATACACAATATAATACACAGTTATATACACCACTGTGGAATTTATTTCACTGTGTAAATAGTGATATATTCCTGTTCAAATGCTTCTATAGAAAGTATTTATTTTAACAAAAAATTAACTGTCGAAAGGGCTTTCCAAAAAGTGTTCTTTCTAGCCACCCATCCTCCCCAGTTACCTTGCTCATCCGTCAAACCCCCAAACACAGTGAAGGCAGAAGGGTGCCGCCTCGGAACCCTCACTCTGTTTGGGCAGATGCGGTGTGGGTTGGGAATCTGAGCGCTTCCCCCCACTGTCCTCCCATCGTCCCAGAACAAAGTGAGTCTCGCACAATTGGCGTGGCTGTGCCAGCCGTGGCATCGGGGCTTGCCCCAGGCAGCCCACTTTGTGCATACACAACTGATACCTTCCAAATGTCCTCTCAACACCCTGTGCAGGGAAATGAGCCTTAGTCGTAACCCCAAGGAACTCCAAACCCATACCTGTGGGAATATGGAGAAACCACTGGTTGCCTCAAGAAAGCATTAAGATATATTTTTAGTCTTTCTCATGTTTGTGAAAGACACACCTATTCTCATTCATTAACCACGGGAGATAAGCATGTTTCCTTGCGCACCTTGACAGTACTCTTGAGCGCCTCAGCGCTCCTCCTCCTCCTCCTCCTCACCGTCCTCCTTCCCCCTCCCCCTCCCCCTTTTCCCTCTCAGCAAGCATCTGTGCAGATGTGGGCCAGCCCCACCTGTAATCCATGGTTACAGGATGAGACCATCTGCTCTAAGATGTGTGCAGCTTTACCTCTCAGGAGTCTTGGTCTGCAATTCAGAGCACCCCTAGATTTAACGGAACTGATGCTTTATGATCGTGTTCCTCTTCTCTGTGCCCCATTCCTGGGCACCTCTGTGTGAGCCGTGACTCTCATTCTCCACAGCTGGCTGGACTGAGAACCTCGGCTCCAAGACCGCAGGGAGCTTGGGACCGGACACACGGTGGGTGGGGGTGGGGGGAGGTCAGCATCCACTTGAACCATGATTTGCATATTTTCTTACGGCCTCCCTTTGTCTTTTCTAACAAACGAGGAGGACACTTGAATAGCAATGCTGGAGAATGTTTTTTCTAAGATACTATTTGTAAGCAAATCTGATTTTAAGGTGAAATGTGAATGGGTAACTAGGTGCCAGGGAATTTAGCACTGAACTAGACCGTCAAAACTTTTTTAACCTTTGCAGGAGGAAATAAATTTTGCTCTCATCTAATGTTCACAAGAAGTAATGTTGTAAATAGTTTTTTAAAAATATTTATTACATGTGCTGTATACAGATTCATGTTCTGAGTGATGTTGGTTTGCATTGTAGTATTGTAGAAGACTATATTTTGAGCAGTGGACTTCCTTTCATAACACAGTTCACACATGGAGAAAGAACAAAAACCAGCAGGTTGAGAGCTGTTTGGGGCATTTGATCTGTAACGCTACATCCAATCCAAGCTTTAATTGCCCCCTCTTCTCATCTGGTTATGTTATATATTATATATATATATACATATGTATGATAAACTGGTCAGTTCCCAGATCTGCAGAGCAGATTTCCAGGTGTTCTTTCTGATGTGTTGCCCATAAGCAATAAGACCCTAGGTAATAACATTTATTCTGGGCTCTGCGTTGGCCCTTGTCTCAGAGGATAGGGTGGGGGTAGAACAGCTCTTGCTAAGACCTCTTGCCTTTGCCGGAGAGGTGGCTGTACTTGAATTTTTGCTTCTGTTTGTCTGCACGCTTCTTCATGTCCTACAACTCTAGCAATGGATGAGAAATCTGCCAGCACCAGACACATCAAAAATTGGGCATAGAGATTGAAAACTAATCCATTTTCCATGGATTTATGGGGCTTCCAGAATCTAGTTGAGGCCAAGCTCATTTGGCTGTAAACAGAAGAACTTTTTATGTTACACAATTAAATTGACAGTAAAAGCCCTTTGAGTCTATCTGCCGAACCTTCAAAAGCTCAGCCCATTTCCTGTGATCCTCCTCTGTGCCTGGGTTTGAAATGTCTGGGGTTAAACATTTAGATCCTTTAGATCGGAGCACGGAAGGCAGTCCCTCCTCCACGTCTCCCAGCGTGTCCAGTTCAACAGGTTTCTAAGCTGTTTAGCAGCCTCTCCTTGTGACCGTCCTAAACTTTATGAAAAATACCCCACACCCGAATAACCATTAATAGAATAATGTAGTTTTTTAGGCTTTTGGAATATGTCTTCTCTTTTATATTTATGACGGTGTTTGGAATTTTTCACTAGTGTTTTTTTAGATTGAAGTGGGTGCGTTAGGATAAAACTTTCCACTGCTGAGCGTGAAAGCAAGCAAGAGGAAAGAAACTGACCTATATTGTGTCATTGGGAAGGTGGCTACTGTGGTGGGAGGGCGGGGAGGGGGCGTCGTAGATTATGTGCGAGTAAAATAGAACTCTGGCCTGAGGCTCCCCGAGTGTTATTACCTTGTAATAAATAATCCCCTTATTAGCCTCACTTAATCTCAATAGAAGCCTGCTGTTTACCCTCAGGGAACAAGTAGTTTTCAAAATTGAGCTCCTCCAAGGTCATTGGCCAGTGCCTGTGTACGGGCAATGGTCGTCTTTGTGAACTCATGGCATTATTTTCTCATATGCATTATGGTAGTAAGAAATCCAACCCCAACCTGTATGAAAAGCACAGCCCAGGGTCCTACTTTAGGCTAGAGTTCATGCCTTTCAGGGGCCAGGGGGCCAGAGGAGGCCCATGCAATTTAACTGAAGCTCAGGTGCCGTGTTGGGTTTTTATTCTTTTTAGGCCACGACCCTTCCGAATGAGATTGGGGCAGGGGCTGCTGATCCGGCTATGGATCCAGGGAGCTCTAAGATGAATCTCTACAGTTCCTTTAAGGTCTTTCTGGTTCCTCCCCATGTTGTCATTGCCGAGGTCAATCTCGTAGTTGTTCAGATGTGCTCCTTTTTGCTGTCTTGTGAGTCTTAGCCAGTGATCCAGATGCCCAAGGAGAGAGTCTCTGGACTCTCAGTACCAAGTGTGTGCTCCTAACCTGTGTGCAGGTGGTCTTTCCAAAAGCAGTGAATTGAGAAATTCTGCAAGTGTTAATCTGGATGATAGATGTTTATCTCTTGGGCCTGGATTTCCACTGTGTTAGTATAGGAAAATACTGTGTCTTTAATGGATGAAAATTCAATGTATGCTGTGAATTTGTTGGTTTGAAACATTGAAAAATTTTCATTAGACAATGTTTACATACCTCACCTGAAGAACCTTTGAGAGTGTATATATGAAATTTAAAAATATATTAAGTTGCTTTAAAACAATATGTATAGCTATAAAAGTTGGAGTTATTTTAACTTTGAATATGTACCAAGTCTCTTAAATATTGAAATCTTGTGGACTTTTTGTGCTTCTGTGTTTTACTTTCCTATTAGGCCATGTAGGAAACTGTGTTCTTGTTATTGGTAAAGGGGCCCTCACTGAAATCCAAGCTTGGAAGGATTTCCTTTGTTGTTTCAGATTTTCTTGTTTGGTTTTGAGGGATGGGGTGTGGAGCTAGAAGGTGTGTGGGAGGGATTTCTCTAACATTGACATCTATTCCATGAGCTTTTTCTAGGCGCTTATTTTATTGCAGCGTATTAAACTTCTTTGATATTAAAGCGTGTTTGTGTAGTTACTGCACAGGGAACCGAATGCACTGAAGCCCAGTATTCAACTTACAGCCAATGCAAAGTTGAAAAGTTGCCAGAAGTATACTTCTAACACTTTTGCCTCAACCACGGTGTTGGGACGTAGGGAACGTTGTCTGGTAGATCTGGGGCCATTTTGTGAGGTAGGCCTAACTTCAGGTAAAAGAAAACACAGTGGATTAATCCTTGGAATTCCCGTGACGGAGTTGGAAAGGTGCCAGTGTTTCACCTGAGGAGCTGTAAACCAGGTAAGCCACTGTTAAATAATATACACTGCTGCTGGGGGTGAGGGAGCTGCCCCAGCTGTCTGTAGCCCGTGTTGGGGAATGGCAGAACGTTGGCAGGAAAGCCTTAGGTTTACTGGCCTCATGACCTGTTTCACTATATTCTTTCAGTTCTGCTCCAAAGGGGTCTATGTAAGGGTCCAGTGGGCCAGTGATTGCTGTGGAGTCAGCCCCGGTTTCCTGAATACATTACATGACAGTGGCCATTGACGTGCAAAACTATATCCAGTGAAAATAACCCTGCAGCTGATAGTTGAGCTACCTCTCTTCATTTGAATTTGGAGAATTTATCTTGTTCCAGATTAGGACTTTTCACTGTTAAAATAGACTTTCTCCCACATTCATCCCATGGGAGGATAACTAGAATATGGTCTGAGAGGTGCAGACTGGCTTGGGGTGAGGGGACATCTCTCAAATTAACCCTGAGAACGCCGAGCATAGAGCTGATAGACATGCCTTAGCCCAGTCTCGGGAAAACTGGGCAACCCTAGCTGGAAGCCTGGTCATTCTTTCCGTTGCTTCCACTCCCCAGCCAAGCCCTGCTGTGTTCATTCCTTGGCCAGGGATTTCCTTTTAACTGTTGGAGTCACTACTAACTTTACTTTAATTCAGAGGTTGCAAACTGGTGGCTCACAGTTGTATTTTATTGAGCCCAGTGTTTAAAAAAATTATCTATACACATGAACTGTGAGGGTTTACATAAAATTTGGTTTCTGGCTTCTCTTTTAAAATGATCATGAAGATCTAATAAAGTTAGTGCATGATAAGAATCAGGTGGAGCTCAGTTGATTGGAAAATGTGCAGGGTGCCTGGTTGGCTTAGTCGGTTAAGGGTCTGACTTCAGCTCAGGTCATGATTTCACGGTTTGTGGGTTCGAGCCCCGTGTTGGGCTCTGTGCTGACAGCTCAGAGCCTGGAGCCTGTTTTGGATTCTGTGTCTCTCTCTCTCTCTCTCTCTCTCTCTCTCTCTCTCTCTCTCTCTCAGAAATAAATATTTTTGGGGGCGCCTGGGTGGCTTAGTCGGTTAAGCGTCTGACTTTCGCTTAGGTCATGGTCTCGCGGTTCGTGGGTTCGAGCCCCGCGTCGGGCTCTGTGCTGACTGCCAGCTCAGAGCCTGGAGCCTGTTTCAATCTGTGACTCCCTCTCTCTCTGACCCTCCCCTGCTCACGCTGTCTCTCTCTCTCTCTCTCTCCTAGAAATAAATAAAAAACATTAAAACAAATTTAAAAAAATATATTTTTTAAAAATTAAAAAGAAAATGTGCCTTTAAGGTCACCATAAGTCCCTAACTGTCAGCTACCATTTGTCCTTTTTTTCTTTAACGGGAGGGGAAATAGGTCTCTTACCTGCTGCTGTAATATTTGTGCTAACACAAATGATGGGCCAGAAGGGCATGTGCCCACCCACGTAGATAACCTATTGGCCAGGCACTTGAGCTTACAACCCCTTTTTAACCCATTTTCTCTCTCACACCCAGTTCATTACATTTCCTCCCAAATCCCTAATTGCTTTGCAGGCACTGCAGTTGCTGTCACTGCCCACTTTCAAGTGACCATGTGCTATTAAGGTATGACTTGTGCAGCCATCATCATGATCTCGTGGGAAATCAGTCTGTGATCCTGGCATCAGAGAAGAGCCAGGTGGGTCTTCTAGGTGGTAGGGGCCTTGCCCAGCCTGACTGCCAGGACGTGGCCTCACCTCGATGCTCAGGTCATGCATCCAAAAAAATTCCTAAGAGCAATCTTGCAGTCTGGAATCAGAGTAGAACTACTAGAGAAGTATGTTTGTGCTCCTTCTCCTCTGAGCCCTGTGAACCATTCTTCTAGCAACAGACAGGTTAACTTTCCAGGACAGTTTGAGAAACCACACTGCTTTCTAATCTGTTGCCCTGATGAACTGAAACCTTCAAAGCCAGGTTCAGTTTGGATGTGGTTCTGTTCACAAAATTTGGGTGACTGCAGATACTTGAAGGGAAATGAGGATAAGGACCCACTGCCCCCCAGATCTCTGTGGGTGCTGTGCTGTGCCAGGCTCTGCCCCTGCACAGATATCCCCAGGGAGCTATGACCAAGCCACTCCGCAGACCTCCCCTTCCTCCTTCAGGAGGAACCAACCTCCTCTGCCACTTCACGAAGACCAGAGAGTTCCAGGGGCAAGTGTCCTATATGTGCTGCATCCGAGAGCCATCTCTGCATGTGGCCAGTGTGCGGGTAGCCCAGAAACCCTCAAACCCTGGGAGTGTGTATGTCAGGAGCCTTGGGCTCATCCTTAGTGCAGAAAAACAGATCAACAAGGCAGAACCTGAGTGAATCAATGTCATGTTCACATGGAAGACAACAGACAATATCCAACATGTTCTAGAATAATTCTAGGGAAAGGGCAGGTGTGGCTCCCTCATGGGCCTGTTCTAAACCAGTCTCTCTAAAAGAGTGATCCAGACAAGACTACAGAAACCCCTAAACAAAGTGTCACTACTACACAGCATCTGAAAATCAAAACAGGACACCGGATATTGACTTTAACATATAAAAATACTATAACAAAATGAAATACAAATATATATTAGAATCTGTTAAGTATTCTGTATAAAGAGATACTTTCATGGTTAGGCTAACAGCAGGCAAAGAGGAGACGAGTCCAGCCTTTTCCATTTCCTGACACCTTCCCAGGGAACCCAGGTCACTGTCGCCAGCAGTGCTCTCAAAGCAGCAGCCTCAGGACTTGCCCTGCTTGTGTCCCTTCAGTGCGTGTTTAATGGAGACAGCCGGAGGCGACATCAAAGCGAACGAAGGTCTTTACCATAGGGGGTGACAAAGTGTGGAGGTGACTAATCAGAGCTGATTTTGCCAGAGCCTTCTCCTGGGTCTAAATGTGAACAGGCGAGATGCGCAGGGATCCAGTTCCGTAGCAACTTGCAGGTTGGTGGTTACGCTGAGGAAATGCTGATCGTGGGACACACTGCTCGGCCCCTTGCCGCCCTCACTCTGGTGGTGGATCCCAATCTTGCAGCTCCACTGTGGGTGCGTGTGGGGCCAGGCTGAGACGCAGGGTGTTGTGGAGGGGTGGGTGGGGGCAGCCGTCATGCATTCACAGGTGGAGAGGCTGCTGCTGGCTATGCCCCTCAAGCCCGGAGAGCCACTTCTACTCCAGGGCGGTGTCAGAATGGCAGTGGCCAAAGGAAGGTAAGTGTCTTAGGGTCAGTTGGCCCAAATACCCCTCTTCCGCAGAAGAGGTAAGTGCAGCTGCACTTGAGCTTTCCTCCACGTATCAGCACCTGCCTAGTGCTAGAGCTGCTCTCCAGGGTCCCACATGGCCCAGAGACTATGGGTAAGAGAGGGGTGCTGTGCAGCCCTGGGAGGAGCCCCTCGAGGCCCAGGCTGTGTTGCACGGAGGAGGGCACTGTGGCCTTGCTCAGAACCACAAGAAAATAGAGCTGGTCCCTGGCAGGGAGCAGATCCAGCGGTGAAAAGGCCTCTGCAGTTGTGCAGGGTGGGGTCCGTGTCGCAGCACAGGGAGTTCCGGGGCTCGACCTCGCAGGCCAGAGCCCCGGTGTAGGGGGCCTGCAGTAGTGGAGCATGCCAGCCTTCCTCTGCTGTAAGAGACTCCGGCCCTCTACTGCTCAGCGTCGGGCGCTCCCCCCACAGCCCATGGTCACCGAGGGCACAGGCGCACTACCGCCTCAGCCCCACCCAGCATGCCCCCCCTCCCCGGCCCCTGTCTTCTGTTTGCAGATGGAAGGAGCTGGGAAAGGGACCTGCTCAGGCCCCTCACCCCCTGGGATCTTCTGGGGGCACTCTCCTGGGGAGACATCTGGACAGGAGAGGGGGGGCCCTGTCTTCTAGCCAGCTCGCTAGATAGAGATCTTTAAACTCAGAGATAATCTGTGCTTTCATTCTGCACGGAAGAGCAGCAGTTGTAGTCACATGGCCGCATAGTCCGGGACTCTTTAAATAGAGTCCTTCCTTGCAAGCGCCGAGAGTGAGCAGCTCTAGCCTGGGCCAGTGTCTGTGTTCAGACCCCTCACTCGGCTCAACTCTTCCCCGGCATCCTGGTCAGATCTGTCCATGAGAGAACGCCCACGGTGCCCAGCCCAGTTAGGCACATAAATACTTGATGGGATTCATGAACATGGATCTTCTAGCTCCTCTAGCCTCCCTTCCGGAGCCACAGTGGGAGGGTCTAAATTGCTCATGTGTATGTTCGGTCAAACCACCTCCCCATTTGATAGCTGAGGAGACGGAGGACCATGGATGGGGAAGATGGTTGCCCAGAGTGACAGGCAGCAGAGGTCTCCTGGTGCCTGGACCACTGTCCCCTATTGGCCTGCACTGTGAGGGGATCTGGACCCAGTTTCTGTAGGCGGGGAAGCCTCCTAGCTGAGCAGCCTAGCCCACACCCCCTTCCCCCTGGCCAGGGGCTGGCCAGCATCCTGTGGCTGGCCAGGGGCGGGGAAGGCCTAGGGCCAGTGCCCCTTTGGTGGGCGGGGTCTAGAAGGGGTGGTTCTGCTGGAACCAAGAGCCTACCCCACGCCTGTCCTCTCTGGGGGGATTGCCACCCCAAACAGCCCCAGTGGACGTTTTTGAAGCTACAATAGTCAACTCATAACTTTAGGATTCAGAGGTCTGGTCCTAAGGGACCCACCTCTAGCCCCAGCCTCACATACAATCGAGCAGTGGCTTTAGTGCTCTATCAATCAGCCCAGGAGGCAAGGGTCAGGCCCTTCCCGGCCAGCAGGAGCGGGCCCTTCCTCTCCACAGCCTGGCCTACTGCTGGCAGACGCTGCAAACGGAGTGGAGGTCCTGGCTGGCTGTCCCAGGGGAGACTTCAGAGTGATCGGCAGGGGACAGGGGGCAAGGGGCTTCTGAGAGGAGTATGGGCCACCGGCGAGAGGGAGAGGCTGGTTTGGGAAGAGGCTGGTTTGGGAAGGGGCCAGTCCCTTCTTCAGACCCAGGTAGTAGGCAAGCAGGGGGTGTCACCATTCTGTGAACTTCTTGGCCTGACCTCAAGCACATATTCATTCAACAAATATTTATTAAGCGCCTATTTGTGCAAGGCACTTCCGGAGAGGGTGGCCTGCAGCCCAGGCCACTCCCACCCACCCCCAGCTGCCGGCTGGTCACCCCCCAGGAGATTGGCCTGCACCCACTGCAGACCACCAGGCTCCACTGCAGCCGTGCCCTCTCGCCTGCCTCACCCCTCCCCGTCCAGCCAGGCGCTACACGCAGAGGGCACAGCCACACTTGGTGGGCTTCTCCACCTCCTCGGCAAAAGAGGTCCCGTCGCTGCACTCAAAGGTGAACTTCCTCCGTTTCAGCCGCAGGCCCTGGCAGCAGCCCTGACCCGGGCATGAGCCCCGGCACTCCACCCAAGACAGCGGGCGCGTGGTCTGGCAGATGGCATAGCCCCTCTGGACCTGGTGAAAGTCCCGGACAGGGTCCCCCCGGCACTCGGACTCTGGATAGGACAGACACCAAGAGAAAGCCTCAGGGCACACCCATGGGCCAGCGCTGGCCCCGGGGAGGCTGGGGGAGGCGCGTCCAAGGACCAGGTCCTCTGGGTCCCCTAGCGCTTAGACTCCACCTCTGACCCCACCCGACATGCACATGCACAGGCTTCCTCCTGGGCCCAGGGTCCAGTCAGTAGGAAGACTTTTCTAGCTGCCAGGCAAGTGGGCTCTCTGGAGGAGTGCAAGAGGAGACTGGGAAGGCAAGAACAATAGAGAAGGAATTTGTGCCAGGAGCAGGGGCCTAGGGGCCCCTGAAGGTGCTTGAGTTCTGGACTTCTGCTTCCCTCTGCGTAGCCTCAGCATTCTCAGTCCCAGCAGAAGCATCTTGGTTACTTGGGCCAGGGAGGGCCTGGGAAAGAGTTCTCAACCCTCAGACTTCCTGCTGCTCCCTGGGGCCCAAGGTGATGGGGCCAAGATGTGGAGATTTGGGCAGGGGCTGTTACCCTGGGCAGTCCCTTCTGTAAGGAGAGACCCCAGCCAGAAGGGGCACTTGCCCTGGATAAGGGGGCTTCAGGGCAAGCTGAACCATTGGTCTGGGGATGGGGCTCAGAGCCCAGAGGGTAGGGGGTACTACAGCCCCACAGCAGCCCAATGTGCAGGGGAGGGGGCACAGGGGATGCCAGGGTTTGGAGGAGGAAAAGTCAAGTCACTAAGGCAAGTTGGGGGGAGGGGCCCTGGAGAGGGCATGTCAGGAGGGGGGGCCCTGACCTTGCTCACACAGCTCGCCTGAAAAGCCAGGGTCACACACACAGTGTGCCCCCTTGGTGGCCAAGGCCTGGCAGTGGCCATGCAGGCACTGCAGGCCCCCGCAGGGGTCTACAGGTGCCCCAGCCTGGTTGCACAGAGCTCCCGAGTACCCATCCTGGCACTGGCAGCTGTAGGAGAGAGCATCGAGGGGCACACATTTCCCGTGGACACACCTGGAGGGGACAGAGAAAAGGTACTGTGAGAATAGGCTGGAGCCAATCCAATCCCAGGGTACCCACACCCCCAGCCTTGGCATCAGGGGATGTTCTTCTGTTTCCCAAATTGAAACAAAGGGAGAAAAATGTGATTCTGTAGTCCTAGGGACCTCTTCCAGTTAATAAAAACTGAAAACTAGAAAAACAAAAAAACAAAAAAAACCCTGTGCCAGGCCCCATGTTCCAGTTTGGGGTTTTAAAAATGCAGTCCATGCAGCAGCCCTCAACATGCGGAAAGGAACGGGCAGGGGGTAAGGGCTCCCCGAACCCAGCTCAGGCTCACTTGTGGCCATGGCAGGGGCCGTCAGCCGGCTGGTCACAGTGTAGGCCCCCCCAGCCAGCCTCACAATGGCATACAGGCCCAGGGGTGGCATTGGGCTGGCAGATGCCATGCAGGCAGTAGAGCTTTCGGCAGGGCTCACAGCCAGGCACCACTCCGGGCTTCATCCGCGTCTTGGTGAAGTCCTGCAGTTCGTTGTTAATGTACAGGTTTCGGATGCAACCGTGGAAACTGGTGCCATTGAGGATCTGCCACAGGCGGAAGGCAGCCGAGTTCACATCCACTGGCATCCCTTGAGTGGGTAGGAAGGAGCAGAGTTGGGCTGAGTCAAGCTCAAACCATGCCTGACCCTCACCGCCCTCGGTCCACTGGGCATCTGCACGGTGTTCCCTCCCACCCTCGGCCTCTGTTTTGCAACCCTGCCAAGATCCTTTGCCACCTTGGAGGGTCCAGACTCCTTTCCCAGGAAAAAAAAAAAAAAGGGAAAGCCGGTTCCCTCAATGACCAGAACGCGGAGGTGCCAGGCCTGGCAGTGGCCAGCTGACAAATGAAGCTCTGGGCGCCTAAAGTCTGTCTGCCCCCACCCAGGACTCCTTCCTGCCCTCTGGGACACCAGGTTTTACCTCCCAGAGATTCCAAAAGCAGCAAGGACCTGGGCCTGGAACTAATGTGTACACCACTTTGTCACCTGCTGTTGAGGTCACAGCAGCCCTCTGAGGGAGTAGTAGCTCAACCCCTGAAGTTGTAGGACTAACAAACAGCAGAGCCGGCAGTAGAGCCCAGGGCTCTCTCCTCCACACCTGCCCAAAGTCTCACCAAGACCCTCTGCAGCACTGAAAAAGCCCCATTATTGCAGAAACCTGACTCGTCCGGACCCGGACATGTTGGCGGGTGGCAGACGGGGGCATTTAGCCTGCAAAGCATGTAAGGCCAGCCAGGAGGTCCCCAGCTAATGCAGACTCCTGCTGGGCACCTGGGCCTCTCGTAGCAGCTCCAAGACTGAATGCCTGACAAGCCCCTTCTGGCCCAAAGCCAAGAGGAAAAGTGCCCGCTTTGGGAGACAACTGGGAAAGTTCCAGACTCGTGCCAAGGCCAGGCCTCAGACCTAACCTAGCACCCATCCGTTTTGGTTGGTCTGGGCTTGACAGACAACAGCCTGGGCTCCAGGCTGGGAAGGACAACCCCCAGCAGCTTGAAATCCTCCTGTCATCCAGTGGCCTGGGCACCAGCTCTCCTGGGGAGACTCAGGCCCGAGAGCAACACAGGCCCCACCTGGAGGTTGTCACACATCGCCTGATGGGGAGGCCTGGGGAGAGCCAGCCGCAGCATCTACCTGGGCCCGGTCCTCACCTCCCACGTAGAGGGGGGCCTCGCTGTTGAGTGTGTAGTGTTTGCCAAAGTTGTCCATGGTCATGGGACTGCCTCCATCGATGGAGAGATTCACCATCTGGTCAAAAGTGACCAGCTCAACGGTGTGGAACTGCCCATCGTTGATCGTCTCGGCGCTAGAAGAGAGGGGGTGCCCCCACCCCAGGGAGCGGGCTTCAGCTCAGCCCATCCCTGCCTGGGCCCCTTCCCAGAAAGGAAGTTACTCCTGCTTCCCAAGGAGTAACGTCTGTCAGGGAGGAGACTATGGAGAGTCGGTGGCCTGGGGCCTGCCCTCCCCCCCACACCGCTCCCCTTCTTGGGACTCCCCAGGAAAGCAGAGCAGTTTGGGGCAGGGGTTTCCCAATTATCCCCCCTCCCCTTCTCACTACAGACCCCCCTGGTGAGGAGGAGGTGGGATAGGGAAGGATAGGTTCACTGCTCAGGCCTCGGCCTCCACCTCAGCTCCAAGATGGGCCCAAATACCGTATCTTCCTACAGGGGCAGCCCAGGCTCTGGGGGTCCGGATAACCACCTGCTCTTGGCCCAGGAGACCCTGAGGGAGGACGGTGGGCATGACAAAGCCTTACCTGTAGATGGCAGAGCTGGGGTAGCTGCCCGGGTCGTAGCTGACACGCACATGACCCTGGTACAGCTCCACTGCGATGTGGTCATTGTCCCCATTGTACAGCAGGATCCCGTTGTCCTCTGCTGTGGAGACCTGAGGGGCAAGGGCACTTTCTCTCCCACCCCACCCCACCCAGCAGTGGCACAGGCAGGAGGGACAGATTTGGGAGAGGGATGCTGCGTGTAGAGCTGTCTTCCCCTGGCTGCCCATCCTCTAGGGGATGTGGACAGAGGCTAGCAGCCCCTGGTCCAAATCTCATCCACCGCCAGGCTGGCCTGGGCCACAGAGAGAAGGCAGGCAGACCAGCTGAGGCCCGGAAGCTATGTGCAAGGAGGGACAGGTAAGAGACCCGAGGACTACCAGCCTGGAGAGGAAAGTTGGATGGGTCCCAGGTAGCCCATTCCGTGGGCCCCTGGGAACCACAGTGAGGACGAGGGGAGGAGGGCTCTGTAACAGCCACGACCACCCAGACCTGGAAGGAGCCACCAGGAGCTAGCGCCTGTCTCTGAAGCTGTGTGAGCAGAAGCTGGAGTTGCCTTGGGGGGCGATCCCTCTGTGAAGCCGTAGGAACCCTGATCCCGCCGGGACCCTCTTCCCCATTTTTTCTGTAAAGAGCCTGACTCCCTGGTCTCATCCATAGGCTGGACCCATCACAGCACCCTATGTCACCGGACTCAGTGGCAGTCCAGGGACGGGAATGTGACTGAAGGCAGGCCATTGCTGGGGACAGCAGGGTAGACCATGCCACTCTGAGGAGGCACCTCAGGCAGGGGCTGGTGGATTTTACTGAGCAGCTCGGCTAGCTGTGTTCTTACGGTACAGACAGTGTAGGTGGGAAAGGGGGGATAACGTGGGGGAGAGCATGCTGAGCACGCTGGGAGGCTGAAGGGCCCTGTGCGAAAAGAGGACCGAGAGGGGAAAGAAGTGGTGGCGGGGGAAGAGAACGCAGCTGGAGGGAGAGAGAGATGGCCAAAGAGGGGACGCAGACCTCTATCGTGTGACTTGCATGGTCCTCTCCGTCCCCAAGAAATGTTTGGCAAACAGTGCTGTTCAAGTGGGACTCGCTTTTTGCCCTCCAAACGCTGACGTTCTGAGATGAAATGGCAAAATAAGGGCCCCAGGGACAGGTGGCAAAGACAGAAGCCCAGAGCTTAAGCCCAGAAACTCTGACCATGTCCTAACCCCGTGGAGAAACTTTGATGCAGCCTTCAAGGCTGGATTTCAGGAGTAGGAGAGACCGGATGGTGGGAGAGGAACCAGTCACCCATGAGACCACTTCCAGCCCTGCCCTGAGACTGCTTCTGTGACCCAATAACCTTTCCAGATGTGCTTGACACTCATCCCAAAAGTTTCGACTGACACAGGCTCCTCCCAGTTCTGGGCAGGGATGCCGCTTGATGCCCTGGTCTGAGGCCACAGCCCCCGGACTCCCCTCTGTGGCCGGGCGCCCCGGGCACGCACCTGCAGTGTGATGTTGGCCCGTGGCCAGTTCTGCAGATCCGTGAACTGCAGGTAGGTGTCCCGATCCACAAAGTTGACACTGAGCAGCTTCTCACACTCGGGGCCCCCAAAACCTGGAAGGCACTGGCACACGGGCCCGCTGCCCTGGTCCACACAGTTGGCCCCGTTCTGGCACTCAGTGCCTTCGCAGGGGCTTCTGGGGCCAGGTGTTCGGGGAGGAGTCTCACAGAACTGCCCACTAGAGAGGGAAAAGATCCAGGTCAAAGAAGGGGCAAGGCAACATCTTTCTCTACCACAGTCCTGGAGAGAAACTCACTAACCATGTTGGGAAACTGTATCCTTAAAGCAACAGAAGATGCTCCTAATGAACACTCCCCTCCCCCCTCAGAACTACAAGCCAGAAGGATAGAGAAACAGGTGTGGTTCCCAGACCAGCATCACAGGTATCACCTGGGCATTAGTCAGAAAAGGAAAACCTAAATCTGCTCCTTAACAAGATCACATGCACATTAAAGTTTGAGAAGTGCTCACGGCACGTGGCAGTTACGTCTGCTAGCAAATTTTACTGTTACCCATTTTACAGAAAACAGACTCAAGCAAAAGAGAGGAGACTCAAATTACTAAAGTAAAGAAATTCAAGAGGTGACATTACTTTTAGCAGGTAGTTCTGACACTCCATACATCCTATAGCTTCAGGAGTCACAAGAGCCCAAAGTGGAAACAACTCAAATGCCGGTCAGCGGATGAATGGGTACACAAGTGTGGTCTGTTCATACAGTGGAACACTATTTGGCCACAAAAAGGAATTAAGTTCCAATACCTGCTCCCACATGGATGAACCTCGAAGACCTGATGCTAAGTGAAAGAAGCCAGTCACAAAGGACCACAGAGGGTAGGATTCCATTTGTATGAACTACTCAGGAGAAGGAGCCTTACTGACAGATACTAGATTGGCTGCCTGGAGCGGAGATGGTGGGTGGGGTGACAGATGAGAGGTATGGAGTTTCTTCCTGGAGTAATGAAAACATTCTAAAATTGACGATGGTTAATGTGTGCAAAATTAGGGTAATACAGTACAAGTCACTGAATTATATACTGAAGCTGGGTGAATTAGATCTTAAAACCATAAAAACAAAACAAAAAAAAGACCCAAGCAGAGCAGGGAAGGTGGGTGGCCACCCACCCTCAACCTTTCAGAGAAGTCGGGCTGCGAAGGTAAATGACCTTTATGCCAGGACAGGTCTGCAGAGGTTTTGCTGGGCAGGTATGTGGTGGGCACTGGCCGGTAATCTGTACCCACCGCCCCCTCCCTCCACCAGTTTAGAGTCCCTGTACCTATGATCTGAGTGATTAGGGAACTTTCCCAAGGCCACGCAGCTGGGGGTGGCATAGCCATGGTTAAAACCCCAGGATCCAACTTCCAGACCCTGACCCTGGCTCCCTCCTGCCAGCCCAGCTGGAGGCTAGAAGGCCTCAGGCACCCGGGGCACAGCAGGACGGCTCACCTGTAGCCCTCAGCACAGAGGCAGGAGTAGCTGCTGACACCATCCACGCACTGGGCCCCGTGCTGGCAGCGGTGGTCCCTGCAGTCATCCTGGTTCTCACTGCAGTTGTTTCCTGCATAACCTGGGGCGCACTCACACCTGGGGGCAGGTGGGGGTGGTCAGGGGACCATAGGGCCCAGGGGCTGGGTGTATGTGACAGAGAATCTCAAGGCCTGTGCGTCTGTGGGACACTCAGGAGACCCAACGGAGCTCCGGCGAGAAAGATGCCCCCCCAGCCCATCCTGGGACCCTTTTCTAGGATAAGAAGGGAGGCTGTGTGGGCTTCTGGGTGAGGGCAGCTTCCGGGCCGGGAGGACGGACCCCAGGGGCATGAGGAGATGGGGATCCCGTCATGCAGGACTCACCCTGGCCACCAGCAGCGCACCCAAGGCCAGACTTCAGCCCCTCCTCAACCTGCCCAGTTGTCCAGCTGCTCCCCTGCACAAGGCCCTGAATCCTGGGGCTCAGCTAGCCCTCTTCTCCAGCCTCCCCAGCTGCACTGGACCAGCCTCCTGGCCGTCCCCCTGCAGGGCTGGTGCCCCCGCTCAGCCTCGCCCGGCCAGCCCCCAGGCTCCAGTCACCTGGGGATCACCCATTTGCCTATCAAACCAGGAGCACACTCCTCCACCTACTTTTCAGCCACAGCCTTGCAAGATGCCCCCGGCCTGTTCCCCCCACATCAGGCCCACCCCTGTGGTCACACTGGTCTCCACTGGCAGCAACCCGCATCCCACCAGCACTTCGCTACCTTCACACCTACTGATTCTGGAACATTCCCCTCTCTCCCTGCCCCAGTACTGCCTGGCCAATACCTCACCTCCTCCAGGAAGCCCCCTAGCTGTCACCAGAGATTTCCTGTTGGAAACTCTTCGAAACTAAACCGCAAACTCCACGGTTCAACCACACAACCTGGCAACCAGCTACCCCTGCCTGGGTGTTTTTACTCATCCCCAGTTTCCAAGCTGTAAGCAACGCCGTTCCACCCCAGCGAGTACACGCATGCTCGCACCCCTAAAGCCAATTTCATGCCACAAAACTTCTCCTTACCGTGTAAAGTGGTGTGATGCTCTGGCAGTTTCTCAGTTTGTTTTTAATACAAGCCTTGACCCCCACTACTCATCACGTCTCACTACTGGGCTACAGTCTGAAAAATGTCTTAGCTGAGCCTCCGCCCACTCGTGTATATTTGCTCTCTCAGTCATTCGGTGACCGGACTGAATACCTGGGCGCAGCAGGGTTACTTCCACCCAACCACAAAGGTGGGACGCTGAGAGACCCGACGCAGCTGCTCTCTGCTCATTTCTCATGCCGTACGGGGCTGTCCCAGCACAAGGTGAGGGACCATGTGCAGTCCTGCTTCATTCCACGCCTGAGGCCCAGCCCCTCTGAGTGGTGGGCACACCCCTTGATCGGCCACAGCTCCTCAGTCTGCCATGCCAACCCCACCCCCCAGCGGCACCCCACAAGTGCAGCACTGGGCAGCATCTGGATGGGGGCTCCCATGCACCCCTCAACCTCACACTGGACCTCAATAACCCTTGCTTCCTGCCACTGTCCTTGGGTGGCTCCTGCTGGACGGTGGGCTCCTGGAGAGGCTCCACAACCTCCCCCGCCAACATTGCCTGAGTGGCTGGGGTTGGAAAGGTTATGTAAGGCCTAAAGCATTACATAACACGTCAGTGGGATCTGGGGGAGCCCCTTGATTACACACATTCACATTACATTTCTGCAGCAAGAAGAGGGACCGTTAAGTAGCCTCGTATCAGCACAGATCCGGTTTTATTACCAAATACGTTCAGATCAGACCAGATTTTGCTGTCAAACCGGGCTTTTAATTTTCAGAATTTTGGGCATTTTGTCATTGGGGATGAGAAATGGTGGATCTAGAAAGATAACACCATTTATGGAGCACTTATCAGATGTCAGACTTGGAGCTAAGTGCTTCCCACAAATTTGCTTATCTGACCCTTACAAACACCCCAGGAGGAGGCTACTGGGTTGCCCAGTTTACAGATGAGAAAACAGGCTCAGAGCAGTCAAGGCATCCATTCAGCGTCACGCTGTAAACCCAGTCTGTCTGACCAGAGCTGTGCCCGCCCCCACCCTGAACCCTTGTATAGCCAAGACCAAACCCACTTGACAAAGTAAAGAAATAGAATGGGGAGACCAGAGGGGAGGGGACTTCAAGGCCCATGGCTTTGCCTGGCCCTGGAAATGGGCAACACTCACCTGGGCCCATCTGGAGTACCCACACACTGGGCTCCATGCTGACATGGGTTCAAATCCGGGGAGCAGAAGTCTACCAGCTGCTCACAGGCCCTTCCTGGTGAAAGAATGAGGAGGCAGGAGAGAAGCTGCTCCAATCTCTGCCAGGCAGCTGGCCCAGCAGAAACCTCCCAGACGCTGAGGGAGCACCCCAGCCCTTCCAGCCACAGGAACGGGGCTCAGGGCATGTGCATCCACCTTCCCCTCCCTACAGATGCTGAAATTCCACCACACTTACCCACGTACTGCAGGGGGCACTGGCAGGTGTAGTTGCTCACGCCATCCATGCAGGTGCCCCCATTGGCACATGTGTGCCCCACACAGTCGTCCGTGTTCACCTCACAGGTTGGTCCTTCAAAGCCGGTGGGACAGGAACACCTGAGGTGGGCAGGGCCAGGACAGCAGCCTTCCTGAGGCAGTGCGGAAGCCTGTGTCCACCCGTGACTGTATCATCCCAGAGCTTTGGTCCTTCGGGCCAGGCCCTTGCCAGGTGCTGGCGTTAGAATGAACAAGACAGCCCTGCACTCCGGGGGCTCACTCCATCTAGCTGGGGAGACCACGAGGAGACAGGCAACCAGAAGAGAGGCCAGGATGGGGCCACACTTAGGCTGGGGAGGTGGGGACAAAGAGGTAGGACACCTAGCCCATATGTCAGGGATGAGGCGAGAACAGGGCTGGGGGGTAAACAGGAGTCAGCTCATGGAGGGTCCCGGAGATCAGTGATCTTCCAGCTGGGGGAGCACCTGGGGTTTTCTGAGGACTATGTGGGTCAGAGAGGTCTGAGGAATTAATTTCCAGATCTCCAAGTTCTGCACAAAAGCTTCCCTGAACACACCTATCCAGAGCTCCAGAAAGGCACATTCACCTCTCCCACCTAGAGTCAAAAAGGGACAATTAAGAATATCGAGGTTTCCAAAGTGAATGGACAAATGCTTCCGCAAGTCAGAAGTTCCCGTTCTGCGCATTAAAAACAATGGAAGCAAGACCTCATGGAATGGGCAGCTGACAGCATTAAGATAATTTCTAGGGGGTGCCCACGTGGCTCAATCAGTTAATTGTCCCCCTTCTTGGTTTCAGCTGAGGTCATGATCTCACAATCCGTGGGTTCAAGCCCAAGCCCCATGTTGGGCTTTGTACTGACAGAATAGAGCCTGCTTGGGATTCTCTCTCCCTCTCTGTCCCCCTCCCCCTTCTTTCAAAACAAACTTAAATTTAAAAACAAAAATAGTTTTTGATGACAGATCACTCTGGGGTTTTCGGTATATAAACTCGGAAAGGTTTCAAATAATTGAGTGGTGTGCTACAATAAGACTTCTAATCCCAATGATTTATTTGAATAAACTCTTTCTCAGCATCTATAGCCACATGCATACATTGTTGAGAAGGAACCTACTGGATCCCGAGCCCTCATTCTGTCATGGTCACCCTGGGACACGTGAATAAGAAGAGAACACACATAAAAGCTCCACCTATTGTGTGTAATAATTATCAATAAAGTTTTGTAGAGTTATGTGCAGATCAATTGTGTATTATTGTAACGACTCTGCAAAAGAAACCGTTCATCAGAAGCTTATGATGACAAGAAAGAAAAAATACTTTAAACTTACATCCCCATGTTGGTGGCAAGGCAGCGTGCTCAGTGAACACTCTCTAGTGTCAGAACAGATCACATTAGAACAAAAAATGGAGGCGGAGGTGGGGGGTAAAACGGAAACACTAGAGTTCGAAGAGAAAAAGAGGTAAAATGTTTAAGCGGTTTAACAGGAGCTTGCGGGTGTGATTTTTACGTGCAAACTGCTGTGCTGTTCAGATTCCACTGGGAAGTGATAAGAAAGTGAATTAAAAAGGGAGTTCTATTTTTAAATGTTAATAATATTTACAATATCCTGGAAGTTACCTCCCGTGCAATGCAAAGTTTGACTTACAACGAAAGATTCTAGCTGTCAGTCTAAGAATGCGTGAGAGGGGATGGAATTTAAAAAATTTCGTGGGTGCCACGTGAGCAAACAGGTTTGAAGCCCACTGTTTCGGGGCCTCAATCTGGAGGGCTGCTAGCTGTGAAGGGGCTGCCCCCGCTGCACCCACCCTCCACCTGGCAGAAGCCATCTGAGGGTGCCCTCCCAGCCCCCCACTCTCCCCCGATCCTCACCCCGGGAGTCTATCAATGAGGAGGGGGATGGACAGAGCCTAGTGTTAGGTCACTGTTTCCAAGGTGACGACCTGTGAGAGGCTGTTTAGGATTTTGTTTTTCACACCTGCTGATTTAGGTTTGCAGAGACAGGTTTGGCCAATCCTGCTAAGTAGACTCCTTTTCTGAAGAGCAGATGTGTTTGGTTGGCAGTTTATTTTCAGTAACTAAATACTATGTGTTCCTCTGAAAAGCTCTGGGTCCAGGAGGGCTCTGGGAAGATGGGGGGCTCGTGGAGGGGTCCTGGGGGAAAGTAAGGTCAGTGGGGGGCTTGCCTGGTGAGCTCAGAGAAGAGTCAGGAGGCCCGGCCCTTCACGGAGTTTCCAAAGTGGGGGAAATGGGCTGCCCAGGTGTGACCCGTATGACCCAGGAGACCATAGCAGGAGGCCCCAGACTTGCTCCCACCACCGGGAAGCCTTTCCCACCCATCTGGGGGGCTGCTTGATACCCAGCTGCTGGCTAGGGGTCCTGCCGTCAGGCCGCACTGGCACAGCAGGCAGACGGTGGACTCCCAATCGGAGGCCTTGGGGTTAGTGGAGATTATAGGGGTTTAAAACAACCCCAGACTTCCCCTTAGCACTGCCCCTGCATATGGCCTTGGCCATGGATTCCCAGTGCCATCAGAAGACCCTTTGGCACCTGGCACGAACAGGGAGGGGCCTGGAGCAGAAGCCCCCGCCCTACCTGCTGCTGTGGCCCTCGGCAGGCCCCCATCCCTCTGGGCAGCGGGGACCTGGGCTGCGCAGGCATGGAGGGGCCTCTAGCACACCCCCACCTCCTCCTCCAACACAGGGAGGCCCGGGCTATCCCACCCAGCAGCTTCCGGCCCCGCCGGGCAACTCACGTGAAGCCGGCATCCTCGCCCTCCTGCGGGCGGCAGGTCCCTCCGTTTCCACAGGGGCTGCTGGCACAGCTGTCCAGGGACACCTCGCAGTCACGGCCCTGGGCGGGTGGCGGAGGGGGACGGTGAGTGAGGAGGACCTCAGAGAGGCCCAGGGGCTGGTGTGAGCCAACAGCTCAGCAGCACGCCTCCCTGTCCCGGAATTACCTGTTCGTTCGTTCACTCATTCACTCATTCACTCGCTGGGTCACTGACTAAACATTCCCGCAAGCAGCCACCCTGGGCACTGGGCACTGTGGGCAAAGTGGTGAGCAAGACAGCCCAGCCACACCTGACCTTGAACGAACAGCCCTCCTCCTCCCCGGCCCCAGCCTCCCACTCACCTTATAGCCGCTGGAGCAGACACACCGGTACACCTCAAGGGCGTCATTATGGCAAGTGCCCTGGTTCTGGCATGGGCGGGACAAGCAGGGATCACACTTGGCCTGGACAGCCAGCGTGGGGGGACCTGAGGCAGGGAGGAGGCGTTACGGGAGAAGCGGGCAGGACAGCCCTCAGAGACAGCGGTGACGCTCTCGCCCCAAGGAGATTTCAGCCCTCCCTGTATTTCCTCCACGTCAGGTTCACGCCTCCTTCCTAAGCCCACCTCCCGGCCTCTAGACCCTCCTCTATAAAGTAGGGTTAATAACAGCACCTGCCTCAGGGATCATATGGACTAAATAAGCTAATCTGAAAAGTGCTTAACAGGCAGGCGCTGGACTCCCAAGGAGCCCCCACACTGCGTCAGGGCAAAGCCGTCAGCATGAGGGCATCACAATCACTACTACTGAAGTCGGCTCTCGCTCCCCACCCCAGCACTGTCACAGTGAGCAGAAGACCGAGGGTGGGCACCTTGGCAAGGGGGGGGGGGACACAGCTCTGTGAGAGGCCATGCTTAGGAAGAAAAAGCCCATTTGTCTTTGAGTTGTTTCTCTCCAAGTATGAACAGAGAAGAACCCTCACCTGCCAGGCAAGGCCTTCCTGCCCCTTCAGGACCCACTGGTCCCCTTCCCTGAACTTGGAGGTGGACGAGGAGCCAGCCATTCACTTGTGATCTGGGTACCTTGCTATTATGCATGTTCTATTTCAATAAAATTTTTTTAAAAACTTACCAGTGCCAACCCCACCCCATTAAATAAATACTGAGCAAATGTTTCGTTCCCAACAGGCAAGCCCCAGATCGGGCCCCTCGGAACTGTTACCCCTGTAACAGCATCCTTCACAGAAGGTGGCCATTAACCTATGGCTGTCAGTTTCACTTTTGATGGAGGTCTGTGAGCTTGCAGAGGGCAGAGGCTGTGTCCCCAGCTGGCCCCCAGCACACGAAGCTGGGCCCGGGGCAGCCCTCGGCCACCTCCCTCGGCTCAGCTGGGCTCCCAGGCCGTCAGTCCATCAGTCAATCAACCTCTGAATGAGTATTTACAGATGCCCTGGGTGAGGCAGCTTCAGAGCAAAGGGTGAGCAAGTCTCCAATCACACTCAGGTCCCTGAATTTCTGCAAATGTCAGGTGAGCGGCAGCTGGGTCCAGTGGCTCGGGGTTGAAGCTAATTGCTGCGCACAATTCCTACCGTAGGGGGGCCTGAGCGCTCCCGCTGCTGAGAGGCTTGGAGCTTCCAGAAACGCTGCTATTTTTATTTTCCTTACATAACCCCAGGGAGGGATTAAGGCCCTTACAGTCTGAGATTTTCTGCCTGGCTTTTTTTGTTCGTTGTATGTCAGGATTAGAATGGCCATGCTAACAAGCAGCAGGTGCCTCGTTCCTGCCACCTGACTGCCCCCCCTCCCCCAGCCGGTCACACAGGGACACAGGAGCTCCGGGAATGCCCTTCCAGGATTAGGCATGTCCCATGGGCCCCCAGCAGCAGGTGGAGGGATGCAACCCTGTACCCACCACCCCGTTCTTGTACTCCTGACCTCACCTTGGCATTCAAACTTCTTGGCAGGCGTGGTGAGGAGCAGCTTGCCCTCCATGTCCGGGGGCCCAGCACAGCGGGCAATGCCCGGTTCCTTATAGCCAGTCTTCACCCAGCCAGACAGCCAGCGGAGGTGGCAGTCACAGTACAGAGGGTTGGCACCAATGGCCCTGAGTCAGAGAGCAGAGAGAAGCAGGCATCTGTAATGGGGTCAGTCCTTCACCCACTAGGCGCACTCAGCCAGGGGCTGGCAAAAATCCTAACAGTCCCCATTACACGAGCCTTTCCTGTGTAGCCAGTGTTTCTCTAAGCACTTACTACGAGTTGGCTTCCAAGTCCTCCTCACAACCCATTCTCCCCATTGCACGCATTGAAACAGGCTCAGAAAGGTTGATGAACTTGCCCAAGAGTGCACAGAGAAAGGCAAGGTGGGATTTGAACTGGTGCTCTTGGGGCCAGAGCCCATCAGTGTATCGTCTCCAGAGTGCACGGTGGGGAAGGAGCCGCCATTCACCTCTGGGAGAAACCAGCTGCTTTCCCACAGCTGAGCACCCAATCTCCTCATTAGCCCCACGGTGGAAGCTTTCTTCTCCAGCTCAGACCGCGAGGACTGAGCCTCGTGTGGAATAAGTAATTTCCCTGGGGTCACACAACTAATGGAGGGCGGGCTCTGGATCCAGGGTCTGGATCTGACTCTGAAGCCCATACTCTCTTATTCTCCTTTTCATTTTTAACTAAACAAGGAGCACACGAATGCATTCTCACCGTAAACGACTTTGAAATACCGTGAACAGAAGTCTCCACCTCACATGACATGGTAAACATGCTAAATACTACTGAGCTGTACACACTAAAATGGTTAATTTTATCTTATGTGAATGTCACCCTCATTTTTTTTTTTTCAGAAAGGCACTTTCCTACTACTGATGGGAGAACACAATGGTAGAACTGTGACAGAGCGAACTTTGTGATATCAGATCACCCATGCAGTTGCCTTTGGACCTAGCAGATCTGTTCCTGGAAGTTTATCTCACAGACACACCTCCACGGGTGTATAAAGGTGTCTGTGCGGTCGGAATGATCACAACCTTGTTTGTAATAGACTGAAATGAACTACAATATACCCACGTTACAAAGAAAAACTGCACCCAGTGTCACTACCAACCTGAGAAGGTCCCACGGTCCCACAGTCACAGGGGTCACAGGGTCGCCATGCTCAGGCGTGTAGGCTCCTGCTCCTCTCCCATTTACATGTAAGATTTGTCACAAATTATGTCCATCTACTGCACATCATCACCAAGCAGCTTCCTGTCACCAGGTGGCACGTCTTGGAGATCCTTTAGGTCGGCGTCAGTGGGTCCACCTCTTTCTGTCCAAGTGATCCCTGGCATCCCAAAGTAATGGCCATCTCGTAGCTCACTGAGCAAGTTCCCTGTTGCCAGGCATTCTGGCTGTTCCCACCAGCAGGGAACACTCTCGTCCACGCTCCTTCGTGAGGTGTGAGCATTGCTCTAGAACACGTGCCTAGAAGCAGGCTTCTACCTCGCGGTCGCAGAGGCTGTACGTGCAGGATGTCCACGGCCGCTTCCAGAACAGGGCTGCATCGGCTCACACTCGGCCGCAGCATATGGCTGTGCCTGGCCCCTCCCATCCCCGCCCACCACTGACACCAAACGGCCACTCCGTACTCTTTATCAACCAGCAGCCAACTTCATCGTCTCACTGACTCACAGTGGGAGATTTAGAGATGGGCGAGAGACAGGGCGGGGGAGTGGAGGGGGGACAGTTCCTCGTCTTCATTTATATCAGTATTATTTTGTAAATATCAGTCTGTGTGATGTTAATGAGAATGGGCACATTTATTAAGTAGCAAAGAGCCACCCTGCCCTTTTCCACCTGTCTCTAGGCAGCAGGGAGCCAGGTGGGTCCCCTGAGAGATACGCTAGGTCTGATGGAAGCAGCAGCAGCCCTGAGCAAGAGCTCCCCAAAATAGCACAGCTGGTGACTGTGCAGTCTTACCAAGAGGCCAAGCGAGGCCTGGGCTCAGGCCCCGGAGCAGCTGTTCACTGCTCGGTGACCTTGGGCAGCCCGCCTTACATCTCTGGGGCTCGCTTTACGGCTCCATAAAGAGCCTGCAATCTGGAGGGGGGCAGAAAGACAAGCACAAATAACCTAAAATGGGCACCGAGGGAATAAGGCAGCGTGGAGCCAGTTCAACCTCGGCGTGTGTTTAATTTTTTCTGTCCTGATTTGCTGACAACATCATCCTGGCTAATGGGATGGGAGAGACACTTTGCCTTTGCCACTGAACAGAGCCAGGGATGCTCAGAGTCTATAGAGGAAGCTTGGACGCCTTGATTTTGTGAAGCTGCAGTGTGTTAACAGTAACAACAAAGGCTTTTAAAAAAAATAAAAACAAGAATACAAAAAATGTGCTATAAAATGTTTACATTAATCCGATGAATGTTTTTCACATAAAAAGTGCAAGGTAATGTGATTATGTTATGCAAGGGGTAAATGCAGAAGTTATTTTAAAATATGTTTTGTAGTGCACTGCAGGGGTATGGTCTGGTAAGGAGCCATGAGTTTAAGGTTTACTGTGAATGAGTTTTTTCATCTCGTGGCCGAGGCCACTGTGACGGTGGACGCCTTGACAGGCCAGGATTGCCACGATTCCATCCCCAGATAGCCCTCCCTCAATAAATGGCCGCAAAACTGCACCTCGAATCCAAGTGTCCCTTTCCAACTCTTTACATTAAGACAGTAATAAAGGGGGCGCCCCAGTGACTCAGTCAGTTAAGCCTCCGACTTTGGCTCAGGTCATGATTTCGCGGTTCATGAGTTCGAGCTCTGCGTCGGGCTCTGTGCTGACAGCTCAAGCCTGGAGCCTGCCTCGGATTCTGGTCTCCCACTCTCTCTGTTCCTCCCCCTCTTGCGCTCTGTCTCTCTCTCTTTCAAAAATAAATAAAGATTCAAAATTAAAAAAAATAAAACAGTAATAAAGAATAATAGAAAGCACCAAAGTCCATGGAAAGCTATTCAAGAGTAAATTCTGGTGTGGCCAACACAGTTTCCTTGTTTCTGTAGAGAGCAGACTCAGAGCCACACCTGAATTCAACCTTTCACACCTTGGTTTGCCCAGAGGCTGGGGTTTTGAGACCGTTTCAGTGGTTCTTTCTACAACTTCACTCTCACCTGGGGATGCTTTTCCCACCGAGGGTGAGTGCCAGCTCAGTGGGGCGTGGCAAGTGGCAGGCCCAGCTGGGTGAGACACCCAGGCACTTGCTAATCCAGAAGGACCATGGGTTCAGGTTTACACCCTGGCAAGAGTATAAATACTCCTGTGTTGATCTTCCGTGTGTCTTGGAAACAGTTGAAACGGTAGGTACTCGGGGTGTTCATGCCAAGGCCCCACTGGTCATTAACGTGACCGGGACCAAAATAGCTTTCCCATGGCTGCTTCCCAGAGCCGCCAACTGTAGAGTTTAGCACATGCTGAAACCTCCACATCTCCCTCACCTGGGCTGTACACCCTCCACCCATCCTCCTCTCAGGCAGTCGATTTGTGCACATCACTGTCTCCTGCTACACGGAGGCTTCCCGAGAGCAGGAACCACAATCCTCTGCTGTGCTGACATGGCAGGCACCCCGTGAACGGCTGTGAATGAACACCAGCCTATGAGCATGAGGAACACACAAAGCATGGTGTGAAAGCAAACAAAATTCAAAAAGAAAAGGATCCTCCATCGTCCCAGAAATGTAACCAATTTGATTTTTGTGCATTCCCTTCCAGCTCTTGTGTTTGCACATGTACATCAGTGAAATCGGCGTATACAGTCTTCTTTATCCTGTGTTTTCATCAAATAACAAATTACAGTGCCATAATTATAATTAACTACTTGCTATTCTGTCCTATGGGCATAGTATGATCTACCGAATCATTCCATATTTACTTTTTTTGTTTAATGTTTTTATTTCTGAGAGAGAGAGAGAGAGAGAGAGAGAGAGAGACAGACAGTGTGAGTAGGGGAGAGGCAGAGAGAGAGGAGACACAGAATCTGAAGCAGGCTCCAGGCTCTGAGCTAGCTGTCAACACACAGCCCGATGCGGGGCTTGAACCCACAAACTATGATATCATGACCTGAGCATAAGTCAGACATTTAACCGACTGAGCCACCCAGGCATCCCATATTTACTTTTTAAAGTTGTTTATTTATTGATTTTATTTTGAGGGAGAAAGAGGGCACGTGCTTGAACAGGGGAGGGGCAGAGAGAATGGGAGACAGAAAGAATCCCAAGCAGGTTCCACACTGTCAGGGCAGGGCCCGACATGGGGCTCTATCACACGAACCGCGAGATCATGACCTGAGCTGAAATCAAGAGTTGGATATTTAACCGGCTGAACCACCCAGGCGCCCGATCATATTTACTTTTCAGAAAATTCTTAATGAATTCAGAATCTAGCTTCCCAGCACGCAGTAAATCAGAGGCAACAAAATGCCAGATTATAGAAATGAAGAATGATGTTGGGGAACCTTGGCATAGGATCTGGCACACCATGAATATTTGTTGATGAAGAGATGGATGGATGGATAGCTGGACAGACAAATGGATGAAGGATTCACTAACTGCAAAGTAAATATAAAAGTGAACCGCAGCAGAGTGAGCCCAGGGCAGTGTGAACACTCAGTCACCGTGGCACATGGACCACAGTGGACCTTAGCAATAACCTTGGTGCAGGCAAGGAAATGAGTTGTCTGGGATCCCCCTGCAAGCCAATGACAGAACAAGGACCTAACACCACACGTTGGGACTCCTGAAGTTCAAGGGGCCTGAACGTGGCGGACCTCAGCCTCCACTGCACCTGCCCACCCCGTCTCCTGCATATTGCTAGTGTGGGAGAGGTGAGAGGGCTGGCAAGAGTCACGGGAGGAACAGAGGGCACTGCAGGACCAGGGACTCCGGATGCTAACTCTCGGGCGAGCCCTGACTCATTACAGAGCTGTGGGTGCCTCCTCCCGCTGCAGATGGCGCACAGCCTTTGTGACACCCAGACAGAATGCGGTGAGTCTACGCCATCCTGGTACCATTCCCTGACTCCTTGCAAGTGCTTGAGAGATCCTTATAGAACAGCTACGGCTCTCCTGTGCAGCGCAGATGGTGGGTACATGTGTGCACATACATGTGTCATCTGTACTGCACGTGTGCACACACCTGAACCCAAGCACTCACATGAGTCCCGGGCTGCTGCCTAGTTCCAGTTGAGTCCCTGGTTATGAAGTGCAGACCTTATTTGTGATGCTGCTTCACTGGAAGGTTTCTTTCACACAGATGCTGTCTTCTAGAGAGACGGGCTTGGATGCAGGGAACAAATACATCTAAGCCGCATTGCAACGCCCTGTTCTACAATTACCACTTAACGGATCTTTACCTACTGGTTTATTTCTTACAGACTGGATCTGGCTATTGGCTTGATGTCATTATTCTCCTAAAGAAAGTCAGAATTGATAGATAGGCGTGGTTCCATAGTTGTTTGGCAGCTCTGGTGTTTTGTTTGTAGAAAACATGTTGTGTGTTCCTGCTTCCTGCTTGAAAACCAAAGCCTCTAGATTTTGAGCCAGAGTCAAAATCAGATTGTACTTGGATACCTTTCGGTTTTCATCAGGAAGGAGGAAGGGTATTCAACTGCACGTTTAAGCCCTGAGTATAAGAGAAACACGAAGGGGAAATCCAAAGGCAAGAAAGGTGGACCAGACTCTTGAAGAGGCCTTTCCTGGCCAGGGTGGGGGGAGGGAAGGAGCTAAAGCAGACCCTTGTCATAGCCCAAAGACAAGCACAAACGCTCTTTGGAGAGATGTGTCTCTCATTCAGGTTCTCAGAGTTCCAAACATCCGCAAAATCTGAGCTCACAACACTAACTACCAAACACAGATGGAAGCAAGCCCTGCCGAATAGGAGCCATCGAGAGCAGTGAACCACACAGCCCTGCCAGCCTTTGTCTTGAGCCCCATCTCTGGCCAGGCTCCCTCCTGCCTCATCTAAGCAGCCAGCCTCCACGTGCCACCATGGCTTTGCGGGAGTTTTCTACGACTTAATTCTCCACAGTTCCCTTCTGTCTGTCACATCAAGTCAGAACTCTTTAGCATGACACAAAAGGGCCTTCACAGTGGAATTCAATGTTCCTTTCCAGATTCATCTCTCCCGACCCAACACTTCTTGCCCAACCAAACCCCCTGTATCCTGGGCTGGACAACCCAGCATCTCTGAATGTGTCATTTACTTTTTTGCCTTCTCACCTCTACAGCTGCTGTTCCCTCCTCCTAGAATGTCTTTCCCCATCTTCTCCAAATGGCAAAAGTGTGCAGTGTGCAGCTCAGTGGCATCGATGAACACTCACAACGTTGTGCAGCCATCACCACTCTCTGGCTCTAAAACTCTTCATCACCCCAAACAGAAGCTTTGTACCCACTGAACCCAAATCCCCATTTCCCCTGCTCCCAGCACCTGCCGGCCATCATTTTCGTCTCTGTGGCTATGGATTGACTCTCCGATACCTCGTGCCGGTGGAATCCTACAATACTTGTCCTGTAATGTCTGGGTTAGTTCACTTCACTTGTTTGCAAGGGTCGTCCATTTGTAGCAGGGTTTCATTTCTTTTTAAGTCTGAATAAGATCCCAGTGTGTGTGTGTGGGGGGGGGGGCCGGATGGCTCAGTTGGTTAAGTGTCTGACTCCAGCTCAGGTCATGAACTCACGGTTGGTGAGTTTGAGCCCCACATCAGGCTCTGTGCTCTCAGCACAGAGCCCACTTCAGATCCTCTGTGCCCCCTCTCTCTCTGCCCGTATCCTGCTCATTCTCTCTCTCTCAAAATAAATAAACTTTAAAACTTTAAAAATAGATCTCATTGTATGTCTATATCATATTGCCCACTTATCCATTGATGGACACTTGAGTTGCTTGTGCTTTTTGGCTATTGTGTGAATAATGGTGCTATGAACACAGGTGCACAAGTATCTGTTTTCAATTTTATTTGTGTTTGTTTGTTTAGAGCATGAGTGAGGGAGGAGTAGCAGGAGAGGGAGAGAGACATGGGCTCAATCTCATGACTGGAAGATCATGATCTGAACCAAAATCAAGAGTCAGACGCTTAACCGACTGAGCCACCTAGGCGCACCCAGTATCAGTTTGCAGTATCTGCTTTCACTTATTTGGGGTATACACTTAGAAGTGGAATTGCTGGGTCAGAGGGTAATTCCACATTTACCCATTAGAGGAATTGGGCATACTGCTTTTTAAAAATCTGCATGGTATTGCCAGCTACATGGTTTTGGAAGCAATCCTACATCTCATTATACCACTTCTTGGGGGGGCAGTAAATTTCCAGAGCTTATTCCCCACCCTGCAGAGACAGAGGCCCAAGAGTAGTATCATGCTTAAGAGCATGGGCCTTCGAGACTCCAGCCCCTCCCACCTATGCAACTTTGGGCAAGCTCCTCACACTTTCTGGGCCTGTTTCTTCATGTGTGGGACAGGAATAACTGTGCCTAGGCTGTAGGGTTGCTGTGAGGACTACATTTGCTGATGCAGTCAATAAACGGCCATCACTTCTGTTATTATTGTGTAGGAAGAATTGTTCTATTGCTGTGACTGAAGAAACACTGAAGTGTAAGAGTCTGAGATGGGGAGTATCTGAAGTTCACAAGCTAAATTCGTTTCAGGGCAAAAGCCACAAACTTTGTCAGTCACAGAAGATGGGGGGGGGGGGGGGGGGGGGTGTTTCTTGGAATACAAGTTCTTTTTAAATCCAAAGTGGCCTGAGAACTGGGCCGGGGTTACTTACAGGTGAGACAGGGAGGTCACGTCTGTGAAGATGCCTTCTTGGAGGGTGGAGATGTCATTGCCATGCAGGGACCTGAGGAGAGAAGAGGCTGTCGGTGCCTCATCCAGGGACAGAGACTCGAGAACTGAAGGGGTGTGTCATGCTTACCCTTGGGTCTCAGTCAATGCCAGAGGGAGCTGGCGCCCTCGCAGAGACCCTGCCCTGCCCTGCTGGCCGCTGGCATGGGAGAGGGAGCCCCTCATAATCCAAGCAGAAGCCTTGTGCCTCAGCCCTTCTCCAGGACTTGTTTTGCCATCAAAGCACCATTTCCATTGACATGACAAATGGAACATGTGTGGCCCTGTGTCCTCTCTCACTTGGTCAGCAAGTTTGGGGGGCGGGGGGGGGCGGTGGTAAGCTCCTTGGTAAAAAAGTTACTACGGCAAGCCATAGGCTGGGGGTAAAGAACGTCCCCATGCCCAGGCAGGGCTGCCAGAGGCTTCGCGCAGATACCCGACTGGCCTTTGTAACAGGCGTGACCAAGGGCTTTGATCACAGGGCAAAAACCTCCCAGTGGGAATTCTTAGAAAAGGCCCACAAATCTCTTGCCGACAACCTCCACCGGAACAGGAAACTCACATGCAAACAAGAGGCATCTTGGATGCCCCGGCCTCCCACTGCTCCCCCAAAACACAGAGTGGGGCAGACAGCAACCCCCATTTCTCAGAGTGTTCCATTCATTCTTCAGCCTCCATGAGGGCCTTGAATGAAAACGGACAGGCCTCCCATCTTTGGATACTACTGGCCCTGCTGGGGCCACAGACACGGAGACATTTCTGCCCACCAGGTGGGCGGCACGGCCCTCTGTGGGTCGGGTCTCCTTGGAGGAGTGAAGAGCGGGGAGACTTACAGCAGCCGCAGGGAGCGCAGCCCCTGGAAGGCCAGAGGCGGGATGCACTGGAGGGCGTTGTAGCTGAGTATCCTGTGGGCAGAGAGGGAGGGGGAGGGAGGGGGAGAGAGAGAGCAGGACAGGGTGCGGGGGATGCCATGCTGCTGACTAGGCCCCCGCAGGCTGGCTCAGCAGCACAATGAAGGAGGCCTGAACACAGAAGAGGGTGTGGGCTGAGCCCCTGGCCTGGTCAGCCCTGTGACCCAGGCATGTCCCCTACCCTTTTATGCCCCTCAGCTCTTAGCTGCAGTGCAGGGACACAAACGATGACAACCTGATGGGTGTTTCCGTGGGTAAGGGGAGATGGTCCCAGTGAAGCCCGCAGCGCGGTGCCCGGCTCTCAGGGAGGCCCCAGTAGGGAGACCCCAGTAGGGAGACTGGGCTCACTCTCTTGTGGAGGTCGCTCTCGCAAGGGATAGAGGCAAGAGCCCTGTGCAGTCGACACCGGACCAGAACCTGCCTCACTTCCAGAGTGGACAGGAGAGGTCCAGGCCCAGCTAGTAATCTAACATCGGGAAGCTGTGGTGGTGACCAAGGCACTATGACTAGCCCCTGTCGTAAAGATGGGGAAACTGAGGCCCTGCAAGGTGAAAGAACTTCACGAGGGTAGCGTAATGAAGTCAGTAAGCTGGGTTTTTAATTCAGCTTCTCGGTTTCCAGAGTTCATAGGCTAAACCCCTCTCCCCAAAAGCTTCCAAATAAATGAATCCATCGAGGGCAGATGGGCGGGTTGACAACAAGGGAGGTGACCCTCACGAGAGCCCCACATGTCCGTCAGCGGATGGACAGATACTGTGGTGTAGCCGTACAGTGGGACACTGCTCCTGGCTGGTAAGAAGGAATGAACTACCCGTGTGTGCAAGGACACGGGGGAATCTCAGAGTAACTGTGCGGGCTGATTCCAAACAGGTAAAACCCCAGGCAGTGTGAACTTGCCCACGGAAAGCCAGAAAGCCGGCTGGCGGCAGCCCCGGGTGGGCTGGGGGGAGGGGCGGGGGGCTGGGAGGGGCGGGGCAGAAGGGTTAGCACAGGGCGTGAGCAGGCTTCTGGGAGTGACGGAAGGGTCCCTGCGTTCACTGTGGTGATGGTCCCAAGGATGTGAACGTAAGTCAGGACGTATCCAATCATAAGCCTTAGGCATGGACAGTTTGTGGGACCAACGGTCCCTCAGATAATAACGAGAGCACAAGATGCTCCTGCCACAGGGACGGGCTGCTTCCCCTGCAGCGGCCGGAGCCACCGAGACCAGGACTTGCCAGCCCAGCATTCTGAACTGTGCTTTGTTGGGGGCCACCCTGGTCATCGCAGGCTGTGTGGCAGCGTCCCCGGCCCCTGCCCACGAGGCGCCGGTGGCCCTTCCTGCCTGGCTCTAGCTGTCACCCCTGGAAATGCTGCCGGCGCTGCCAAATGTCCCCTGGCGGGCAGAATTGCCCTGGTTGCTGGCAGCTTCACATACAGGCTCACGGAGACTCTGAAATGGGAGCCAGTTGATGGGAAGCCTCTGGGGCAAGTAAGTGAAGTGGGTAACCTAGAACCATCATTTCATGGTCTCAGGTCCACCTTCTGCCCCCCGGGGGTCTGGTGGGGTCATGACCCCTCCTTTTTTGGGGGTACTGGCTCTACTGTTTGACCACAGTGGAGTCTCAGGGAAAGTTCTTAAGTTCTTGGCACATTGTCTGTAAGATGAGGTGTTGAGAAGGTGAGGGCCACACCGCGTTAAGCTTCAGGTCAATGTAAGAGCTGCTCACTATTCTCTCCAATTGCTTGGAATGTAATTAAAGCGTCGTTAAAACAACCCAGAATATGGGCACAAAAGTGTTCGGAAGGTCGCCTTTGCAATAGTACGAACTGGAAACAACCCCACTATTCATCCGTAGTGAAATGGGTAAGGGAAGGAGGGTGTATTCCTACTAAGGAGCACTGCACAGCAGTAGAAATGACCAGACCACAGCTTCCCACGAGTGGACCTCACAAACATAATGTTACATAAAAGAAACCAGATACAAAAAATATATATCTTGCACGATTCCATTTACATAAGGTTCAAAAAATGGGCCAAATGAAACTGCATTGTACAGAAGTCCGTATGTAGATGGCAGTGCTACAAAGAAAATCAAAGACGTTGATCACCATCAAAGTCAGGGGAGGGACTCCCTGGAGACCAGAGGGGCAAATGATCAAGAAGGGACCGAGGGAAGGACTTCTGGGAGGGCTGTGCTCTGTTCTATGCCTTAGGTATTTACACGTGTGCTAGCTTTATGATTATTTGTTAAACTGTACTTTATAGGGATTTTTTTTGCATTTTTCTGTAGGTAGGCTATATTTCACAATAAAAAAACAGGTTTTTTTTTCTTTTTAGCTGACAAGGCCGGGCACACTCCCTGGTGGCTGAGGAGTGACCAGTGGGGCTTGAAGAAAGTCTCAATGACATAACGTGCGTGCCCTCTCTCCACCTCCCCACCCCTGGGACTCACAGAGTGGTCAGCTGGCTCATGTTGGTGAAGGAGGAATCGCTCAAGGAGCTGATCTTGTTGTTACTCAAGTCCCTGGAAAAGACGAAAGCATCACTGTTGAGAAGAAAGAAGAACCCAGTGCTGGCTCTCTGCTACAGGCTCCTCCCCTCCCCTACTCTGCCCATGTCCCCTGCCCCTTAGCCAGGCGGCAGCAGGGGCGTGGGGTGGTGGTAGAGAGGGGCACTCCATTCACAATCAGCTACAGCCTTCTGCTCTGCTCCCTGAACTCTCACTGTGTCCTCAGGACTACCCGTTCCCATTTCCTTCCCCAACCCCCCCCCCCCCAACAAGGACAGCCTGGCTCATGCCCCCTCCTACCGTGGACACGCTCCCACCAAAGAAATCAGCCACCTCCTAACTACCAGATTGAGAGGGCTCTGTGCTTTCTCTCTGCTAACACTTCACCAGGCTCCTTCCCAGGCCCTCACACAGTCCTGCCCAGCAGGGTGGGATAGGGGGCGGGGGCGGGGGCGGGGGGGGGGGGGCGGGGGGCGGGGACATGACAATAACAACTTTTTTCAAATGAAGCAGAGTGATCAAGTAACCCACCCCAGGTCCCGGGTCACGACTGATACCCCACTTCTCAAGCTCCTGGCTTCCCTCTCCACACATGCAACAGCGTCCCCGCTTATGAACTCCCCTCCAGAGACAGTCCAGCTCCAGGCCACAGCTTGCACTTTCCCTACCCACCTGGTCCGCAGCCCCAAGGACCCAGAAACACTGCCCTACCTGCCCCCTCCTCTCTCTTAGCCTCCTCCTTCATTTCTGCTTACTCCAGCCATCTCTTTCCCTGGCTTCTGTCTCAGACTCTCTCCCCTACAGCTTTGTTCCCTTTCCATCCGACTTCCTCATGGGTGGCACCACCTCAATCTAAGACACAAATCTGACTAGGTCACTTCCCTGCCAAATCCCACAGCGGCTCCCCTTTGCCTAAAAAATTAGCCCAGCCACTGCTAGGTGCTCCGGATTCTGGCCCACTCTCCCTCACTGCCTCCCACATGCCTGGCATAGGTTTGCTCACTTCCTGAAATTCTCTTGCCCCTGTTCCCTCTGCCCACGGGTGAGTTCTGCCTCTGTCCCGGCCCCACACTGAGTTCATCACCCTCTGCTTTGAGCCACATCCCTAATGCGCATTTACCTCTGCTGGAACACCCGTCCCACATCTCCCTCCTGCATGCCCCCCAGACCACCACCTCTGGCAGATAGCCCGTGACTTAGGGGCCTTCATCATATATCCTCACTTGTAGAACACGAAACCACGCACCCTGCCTTCATTTCCTCTTAGTAAATGTTCCTCTAACTCCTCTCATTCAAGACTGGTCTGTTGTTCTTAGGATACACTTTAGTCCTTCTCTGAGCTCTCAGCACACCGTGTGGTCCCTGCTTGGGATGGGCAAGGACCGGCCCCCATCGGCCCTCTCTGCCTCCTTTCCTCCCAAAGGCATCCAAGCCACCAGGGCAGCTGCCTCAAATTAGAGAGAACGGCCATCTATGTCTTGGCTATTCTGTCACCAGCCACCAAATCACTGTCCTCCTCCCACCCCTCACACCATTGGAACAGTCAAAACTCATCTGCCAGGACTTTAGCAAAGGCAGATACACCAGAACTTCAAGATCCTGTGAGCCAGTGCTGCTCAAAGTAGCCAGTCCCTGAACTGAATGTCCCACAACAAGGACCTTGTGCCAAAGTGCAATCACCACGACACTAAACACACAACTTGGTTTAGCTAACGTTCTTTTTATAGTGGCACTTCTCAGTGAAGGAAGCAAGACACTGATTTACATTCTGGGGCAAGTTTCCTACCCAACTGTGGACCCATTACAAACAGTTCTCTAGTGGCCATTGGTCTACAGACCACACTTTGAGTAGCACTGCCCCAAGCCAAACTAACGTGGAATGTTCTCTGGACTTCTTTTTGGGAAAATCTAGCCAATGAGCACACCAAGACAATTGGAGAGAGGTGTTAATTAGGCTGGAAGGCGAAGAGAAAATGAAGTCCTTCTGAGGCTTAGTTCATATATTTTCATGGAGTGGAAAGGGTCAAAGGTGGGAATAACAGAAAAAGAGATGTTAGCCTGAAGAAAAACTTAGTCACAGACGTGTATTTGTAGCTGTCCTGTTTCATGTTTGGTTTGGGGGCCGAGCTTGGACTGAGAAGCTTTCCATCAGCCTCTACTTCTGCTCTGGCTCCTTCCTTTGCCAGGATGACCCTCATTAACAATAATTCTCAGGCCAGATGGAGGCTTGGGGTGTCGGCTACGGAGAAGTGGACAGGGTCCAACTCAAGGGATTCTGGAATCATGCCATTCCCAAGTGTGGCCACTAGGTGGCAACACAGTTCTATCCACTGACATCCAGGGAGGGAAGGGGCAAAATAAAAACCAGATCAGCTGGAAGCAGGGTGGGCGCGGAGGGGATTCCAGAAAAGCTGGAGCCAGAGGGTTAGATACCAGTGGCCCCCCTGTCTTCTAAGGCAGGCCTGGGATCCTCAAGAGGCCCGGATACTCACACAAGCTGCAGGTACTTGAAGGTAGACAGCTGTCCCGGAACCAGTGTGAACTGGTTCCCATCCAAGTAGCTACAGGAGAGAACACGACAGTTAGCACGGTGCTAGAGGAGCCTCCCCTGCAGCCAGGGCCTTCCAGTTCCTCTCCTCCCCTACATGCAGACCACACAACTGGCCCAGAATCACTAACTGGAGGAGGAAATATGTGGTTTCTTAGGCATTCGGGTAGATGCCACCAAAGCACTTGGTCAAAGCACTGAGACACAGCCTCCCTTGGCTTCCTAGCTGCCCCTGCCTCGCCCGCTCAGCCTCCTCCCTGTAGGTGGGTGCTACCCAGGGCTCAGTGCTGGGCTCCTCACCCCCCCCCTGCGGTTTTCTTGGCCAGACAGGTCAGATCTGTATATTAGTCCTCTTGGGCACACCTGCCAGACCCCTCACCAGCTCGCAAGTCCCCCCCTCCACCTGCTAGCTCCCATGGGAGCCCCAGACCCAACCTGCCCACCCCTGAGCTCAGTCTCTCACACCCTGGCTGGTTCGCCTGACTCCCAGCATCATACCCATGATCCCAACCTCCCAGGCTCAGGCTCCTGGGGGTCATTCTCCTCCTCACTCAACAGCGCCCCCTAGCTGCTGGCTCTCCTGCCCACTGGCCTCTGCTCATTTGCTGTGTCCTGCTCTCCCATCTCCCCTGAAGGCATACGGTCACCCATGCCTGGGCTCCTCAGCCGCCTCCGTCTGTTCCTCCACCTCGGCCTCCCTTCTGGGACCCACTCTATACACTGCCACCCAAGCTGTTGTTCCCAAAGCCCAGCCCACCAAAAATCCTTGTAACATTCCCTAAGGTCCCCCACGTCTGCAAGGTGGAGCTTGGGATTCAAGATGCTGTGAAGGTCCCCTGTCCTCCCAGACATCCTTGCTAAGCAGGGATCCAGGGGCCAGGAGCTGAAACCCCAGCTGGGCTCCTTGCCCGGGACCCCCACCAGCTGCAGCCCTCAGGATGGCTCACCCCCACCACCGGGGATCCAGAGAGCAGCAGAATCAGGGCTTTACCCACCCTGACCCATCACTCTGGGTCATACAGAGTGACTTCCCACCCATCTCATGTGATCCTCTCAACGGCTCTTCTCAATACACCCTAGTGGCCCGATTTTACAGCTGGGAAAATGGAAGCCTAGAGAAGTCAAGTGATTTTTCCCAGCCTCTGAACTTTAGCATCCTCAGTCACAGAAGGCAGCCTGCCCCACTTGTCCATTATGCTCAGGGCTGCTAGGAGGCGCCAAGGAGGGAATGGAACACTGACAGATGAGAGAAAACTGGGCAGGGACACAGGACAAGGGCTGCAGTGGGTGCTGTGCCTGTGAGGAAACAGTCTGCCTTGCTGGCAATGAAAGAAACACAATGAAAACCTCACGCGCTCCCCATAGGGAAGGAAAAGCGCAGCTACAGAGGCCTGGAGGGACCCATCCCAGGGGGCAGGATGAGTCGGGGACTGACCACAGCCTCTTATTTGAGGGTGTCAGTTGAAGCAGCCCCGCTCTCCTGTCTGTGGCCCACACGGACACCCGCACCTCCCCGTAAGCTCGGACGCCACATCTGCATCCGCACTTAGCCCATGGTGCCCAGTACCGACAACGGGGGTGGCCAAGAAGGCCATTTCCACACCCAGCCCTCTGGGGTGCGAGGGCAATGACCTCTCTGGAAGGCCATCCTGCAAAAGGCAGCGAGAGTCTTAGCAATGCAGCACTCTTTGACGAGCTCCCTCATAGAAGGGAGCTTCGCCTGGGTGAATTCTCTTAACAGTAAAACATCGGAAACAACTCTCAGATGAAGGGGGGCTTTGTTATATAGATCATAGCAGATTCGTGTGGTGGAGCCGCGCAGCCAGCAGAAGCAGCTGCTGTGAGGGTTTTCATGACAGAGGGGATGCTCGTGAGAGGAGGCGAAGGGGCCAGCGTAATGTTACTTCTTATTTTAAAAGCAGGCTTCCGCTTAGAGCGAGGAAGCACTCGCCGTGGGAGCCTCAGAGACGGGTCCAGCAGAAGCTCAGGGCCTTCCTGGAACCCGCGCCTCCCACAACGCCCTCACTCCGAGCCCCCATCAGCTGTTCTTGCTGACCTTGCCCCTGCTGCCAGGCCTGCGGCCACTCACAGTTCTGTGACGTTCTTGGGGATGCCTTTGGGCAGGACCTGGAGGTGCTTGTTGCTGCAGCGGACCACCGTGTCCAGGCAGGCGCATTCCGGGGGGCACTGGGGGCGGGGCAGGCAGCCCCCCTCCTCTTGGCCTGGGGAGGAAGGTGCAAACACATGTCAGTGAGGGGACAGGTCTTCCTGGGGCCTCTTATGCCTGGGGCTGCGCTCCTGGGTGTCTCAGAACAGAAGCCCCTCTCTGACACTGCCCCAGGCACCAGTAGGTCCCCTCTTGGCTGCACCCCTTCCTACCAGGGACAAAGGCCCTTGGATCATTTTGAGGTTAAGATGAGTCTTGGGTCAATCTCTTCTGCCTTGGGTTCAAGGTGGACCTCAGCCCAGAAGGAGGATGGCAACCATCCCATTTCTGGAGCACCTACTATGCATCAGACACTATATTGAACATAATCTCTTTATTTTTTTAAATTTTTTAAAATTTTTATTTATTTCTAGGGGGGAGAGAGAGAGACAGCGCGAGCAGGGGAGGGTCAGAGAGAGAGGGAGACACAGACTCTGAAACAGGCTCCAGGCTCTGAGCTGGCAGTCAGCACAGAGCCCGACGCGGGGCTCGAACCCACGAACCGCGAGATCATGCCCTAAGCGAAAGTCGGACGCTTAACCGACTAAGCCACCCAGGCGCCCTGAACATAATCTCTTTAACAAGAAAGAATGCAAGCACCACGGGGACAGAGACTTGTCTCTGCTCTTTTGCTCACAGGAGGAGTCCAGCACCCAGAGTTGGGGCTGGCACACGGGAGCCCTCAACATAGATCAACTGAATGAGTAAATGAAAGGTTTTATACTTTACTGAGATCTGGACAGATTACATAACTTGCTCAGCTCAGAAGGCTGGTCAGAGATACCCCACAACTGGCCAACATGGACTCTGAGCTCCTTCCATCACACCTCCTTCATTTATTCATTCACTTATCCCGTAAATGTTACCGGGTATGCCTTCCTCTCTTCTGACAGGGTGTAGGAGGAACAATAAGGGCAGCATGGTAGGAGCTGCCGGGGGCACTGGGGAGCAGGGGACAGAGGCTACCGGTTACGGAGGGCAGCTGTGCGCAGGCGTCATGTGATACAGAACTCCCTGAATCCTCAAAACATCTCTCCGGTGGATGTGCTATCAGCCCATTACAGGGATGAGGAAACTAAGGGCAGAGTGGTTAAGTAACGTGCCCAACGTCCCCCAGTCTGGAAAAGGGGGCATAGGACTCTCCCTCTGTCTCTGCCCACCCCCACTCTCTCACTCTCTCAAAATAAATAAATACACTTTAAGAAAAAAAGAAAAAGAAAAAGGAACAGAATTTTTGGGTGGGGGATGGATAAAATTGGCAATGGTGATTAAGGAGGGCACTTGTAAGAAGCCTGTGTGATGGATGGAATTGTTGAATCACTATACTGTACGCCTGAAGCTAAAATAATACTGTATGTTAACTATACTAGAAATTAAGATAAAATTAAATTTTAAAAAGAAACAAATTTTTTAAAGACTAGGAAGTTCTTACTGTATAAAATGATATGCAAATATATATGTGAGTAGTATGGAATTTTTTAAAATAGGAAGTAAAACTGCTCTAGGAAATCCACTGACTTTGTTTAGAAAACCACGCTGACCTTCTCTCTTGGTGTGAAAGTTGAAGCTCCTTGCCTGGGCCGGTCTGGGAGCTGAACTGCCCCCTGGAAGCAGGCTGAGAGAGGGCGGGAGGAGGCCGGGTGGGGGGCTGGAGTTCCCTACTGAAGGCAGCGGGGAGAAACTCCCTGTGACTGGGCTCAGGGACAGGCAGGATGATTGCTCTATTCTCAACCTCACCCCTTCCCCGGGGGTGGGGGGAGGTGCGGCAACTCTGCCTCCAGCAGCTGCCTTGCCTGCAGGGAGCTCTGTGGGAAATCGCCTGGCCGGAATGGGGCCACTATGCTCTGCGTGGGGAGGGCTAGCAGGGAGGGGGCTCAGGAAAGAGGCTGGGACTCTGAAGTGACAAGTGATCAGGTTTCCCACGTGGAGGATGGGGCCTGAGAAGGTCCCACTGCACATCATGGACAGGGTAAGCCCGTAAGTCTGGGGCACGGAGGAACCGCCAAGAGGCAGATCCCTGGCTTAGGCACACTGATGTTAAAAAATACACTAAAATGTAGGGGCTCCTGGGTGGCTCAGTCTGTTAAGTGTCCAACTCTTGATTTTGGCTCAGGTCATGATCTTGTGGTTTTGTGGGTTCGAGCCCTATGTCGGGGCTTTGCACTGACAGCCCGGAACCTGCTTGGAATTCTGTGTCTCCCTCTCTATCTCTGCCCCTACCCTACTCACCCTGTGTCTCTCTCAGTCTCAAAATAAATAAACTTTTAAAAATTACACTCAAATGTAGGGGCGCCTGGGTGGCTCAGTTGGTTAAGCATCTGACTCTTGATTTCGGCTCAGGTCAGAATCTCACAGTCGTGAGTTCAGGCTCCAAGCTATCAGTGTAGAGCCTGCTTGGGATTCTCTCTCTCCTTCTCTCTCTGCTTCTCTCCCATGTACTCTCTCTCTCTCTCAAAATAAATAAACATTTAAAAAATACACTAAAATGTGAACTGTGATTTTCTCTGAGTGATAGGATCATAGGTAACGTATATCTCCTTCTTTTATCTATTCTTTCCCATTGTTTAAACAATAACCATGTTATTGCTCTTAAAATCCCCGGAGGACACCAGGAGGCAGGCGTGGGACTAAGAGTGGGTCTCCCTGATCCCGGCCCACCCCCCACGCCCCACCAAGGCCCAGGGCCACCCTTCCCTGCAGGAAACTCTTCAGGGCTGGCTGCCCGCCTCTCCCCTCCCACCCAGGGTCCAACCACTTACCATCCTCACACCTGAAGTCAGGGAAGGCCACGTCCTGCAGCGGGATCTGCCGCAAGAAGTCTGGGTTCTGGCACCGCGGGTTCCCCGTCACAATCTTCCTCCTCCGTAGCCAGTCCCCCAGCCAGGCCAGCTGACAGTTGCAGTTGAAAGGGTTGGCCAGAAGGTTTCTGGAAGAGAAAGCATGTGACCAGCAACACACCTGCCAGGCTGGGTTTCCCTGCAAAGCCCTCTCGCCCCACCATGGGCGGGCCAGGCGGCCACCCGCACTCTTTCCCAGGTGACCAGCAGTTACCGAGACGTGGCATTCTGACGTGGTGGGACCCCACAGACCACAAGAGCCCAACACCCGCAGTGAGTCCTTTCAAGTAACCACCCTGCGGAGGGCGGCCGGAGGGGCGCTGGGGTTGGATGCTGGGGCCAGACTTACAGTGTGGACAGGGCCTGGAGGGTGTCGAAGGCCCCGGGGGAGATGGTGGCAATCTGGTTGTCGTAGAGTGAGAGCAGGCGGACATTGCGCAGGCCCGTGAAGCTGTCGTTGTGGATGCAGCTGATGCGGTTATTCCTCAGCATCCTGGGGAGCGGGAGGGGAAGCCGGCGCTGTGCCCACGGCCTCCCACCTGCCGGTGCCTTGCCCAGTGGGGGCCTCTCACAGATTCTCCCCGCGCCCAGGCTCCCCTCCTGCCCCCCGCCCCACCTCGGGATGCACTCCCGTCCACCCTGCCTGTGCAGCGCCCACACCGCCCAACCGCCGCCTTCTCTCCCTGGGTGCCCAGGGCCTTCCCCACCCCCAGCCCACCCTCTGCACCAACACCCAGGACACTTGCCTAAAACCTAAACCCAGTCGTGTCCCTGTCAGCCGGAGGCCCCAGTGGCTCCCCAGCTACCCATAGAATGTTTCCTCTCCTTACTGTGCCCGCAAGAGCCAGCCCAGTCCAGTGCCTGCCCACCTTCCGGGAGAGCGATCCACCCTGGACTCCTCTGTCCTGCAGGTGAGCATGGGGGTGTGTGGTGCCTTGCTCTGGCTATGCTGGCCATCTAGAATGACCCCATTCCTCATTTATACCTGCTGAAGTCCCTGTTTACCCTCAAAAACCTGGCTCAAATCCCCTCCCCAACCAAAACCAAAACCAAGCTGGACACAGAATAGACAATTCACAAAGGAAATTAAAATGGTTTATGAACACTGATAAAAGATGTTTAAACACACTAGTAATCAAGTACATGTAAGCAATATTGAACCTTTGCCCGATAAAGTGCACAATAACTAAAATATAGTAATAATGCCCAGGGTTGGTATGGGTGAATGGGCACTTTCATACGTGGGCCAGCAGGAGAATCACGTGGGGCCTTCCTGAAAGTGAGAGGTAGGCAGCAAAGACCTTAAGAGGGCTTCGTGCTTTCATCCAGCAAGGCTTCTTTTAGGAACTTATCAATAGGGAATAATCCTAGATGGACACAGAATTTCATGATAAAGCTATAAATCACAACTTTGCTCATAATAAAAAATTAAGAGAGCCTGAATTTCTGGGGTGCCTGGGCAGCTCAGTTAAGCATATGACTCTTGATTTCAGCACAGGTCATGATCTTACAGTTTGTGGGTTCGAGCCCCACATCGGTCTCTGTGGTGAGGGCAGCAGAGCCTACTTGGGATTTTCTCTTTCCCTCCCTCCCTTTCTGCCCCTCCCCTGCTCACATGCACTAGTGTAAACACGTGCTCTCTATCAAAAAAATAAACATTAAAAAACAGATAAAATAGCCTGAATTTCCTGTAATTATATAATACATAGTCCTTCAAAATGATGTTGTAAAAGAAATTTTAATGGTATGTAAAGGTGCCCACATTGTGTTTAAGGACAAAGCAGGTTACCAAATGGATTCTAGGATTCCGTTCAGAAGCACCCACACGTAAGCACGCAGGTGTATGGGTGCACGTGCGTGTCACAAGTACATACATGGATACACAAGACTGGAGACACAGTGGAGGCGGACAGTTAACAGCACTCGCCTGTGTGTGCTGGAGGGGTTAGGGCACTTTCTTCTTGCTGCCTCTGCCCCAGCGCCAGCCCTTCCCCCTCCTCCAGCCCATCCACACCTTCCTCAGAAAGAACCCATGTGACTGGCTGAATAGCACACTATGCCCTCGTTCAAGGGCTACAAAGTATAGAGAAGAACGTGAACAGCTGGGAAAAACAGTCCCACTAGATTCACATGTGAAAAAACCAAGTGGCAAAACACAGCGCAAAAGGAATCTCCTTTCTGTGAACCAAACCAACCAAACAATAACAAAAAACAGCAACAAATCCCCCCCAGAACCCACAGGGAACCCCTTCATGTATTCATTTCCTTTACACAAGTTGCATGACGCGTGCTCTGAAGATGGGCGGATGGCCCTATAGCAGGGCTGGGAGTTAAACCCTCCAGCTGGCGGCTGGAGCTGTGCTACCCCTATAGCGGCCCTACGCTGCTCAGAGTCAAATGAATTAAAGTGAACTGAAATTCCAAATGTCGTGACTCAACAGCACCTGCCCCCTGTCAATAACTGAACGGCCACATGTGACTACTGGCTAGACGGTGCAGACGCGGGACACCTCTTCCACTGTAAGAAGTCCAACTGGACAGGGCTGTCTACCGCGTGCTCGAAAGGTCGGTGTGGCCATGTGAAGAGCTAGTGCCACCTCGGGGCGGGGGGGGCTCTGCAGCATTCGGGGGGGGGGTGGATGACCCCAGGATCCTCTTGAGCCCCGATGTGGGGTTAGCTCTGGCTGGACTCTGGCTCATGGGATCCCAGACTCCCAGAGATAATGGGCCATCCCTGCTCCCCCCTCTGCACTGGCTCAGTCACCTCAGCAGTGTCCCTGCCTTGGGGCCACCCAGGCCTCCTGCCCGCAGCCATGCCGGCCACTCCTGAACTAAATACACGTGCGGTGCTCTGGCAGCCTGATCAGAGGGCAGGGGGGACTTCCCAAAGGGTCCACCCCCACCCACCCCTTCACCAGGCACCGACCCCACACCCCAGGAAACAAGAAAGCAGGCCTCAGTACGGTTACCAACATCTGACCACATGCCGCCCTGCAGACCCTGACCGCAGACCTCATACACCCTCTGCTGCCCCTCTCCTCCTCCTGCAACCCTCTCTCTGAATGCAGACAGTGACACTCCAGCTTGCTTTTGCCTCTTGCCTCCTGGCCCTGCTCCCTGGCTGCACACTTACAGGGTCCTCAAGCCGTCCAGGCCCCGGAACATGCCGCTCCGGATGGACTCCAGCTGGTTGGCGGTCAGGTGCAGCTCGCTCACAGAGGCCGCGCCCTCAAAGGCCCCATCTTCTATTTCCGACACCTTGTTGTTGCTCAGATTGCTGGACAGAAGGCGGCAGAAAGATCGTGGAGCTGAGGCCCCTCCCCCACCTTCCTGCAAACCCCTGCAGGGGAGCCCCGCCCCCAGGAACCACCCCCCCCCCACACACAATATTTTCCTTCTCCCTCCCCAGCTAGAGTCCTGGCCACAACCTCCCTGCCAATGGGTAACTCACATCTTCTTCAGATGAGTGAGTTTTTTAAATATCCCAGTGGCCTCCAGGATGGAAATCTCATTGTTGTTTAATCGTCTGTAAGAGGCAATGGAAAGAACTTACACATTCATAAATGACAGACATTAGAGTATTTTCCAAATTGAGAATATTTGGGACTCAAACAAAGGGGCACCCAGAAGACTTTAACTGGCAAAGCGAACCGATTCTCTATCAAAGGAAGGACGGATGAGGGTGCTGGGGGCGAATGGGGATATTTTTAAAACTGAAAATGCCATGAAAACGTATGTACTCGAATGACAGATATGTTTAGCTGTTCATGCACATAGGCACTTATATTTTTAAAGAAAAGAAAATAAAGTATGGCCTAAGGTCCAACTTGATCTAATAGAATCACATCTCCCAGAAGGCAAGAGCCTGACTGGGAGAAGCCACCCCTGGCTCAGGCCCTGCCTGCCAGAGACTGGAAGGTCTGGAGGCTGTGAATCAGCAGCCGAGGGGCTTCGCCCGGGAGGTGCTTCTGGCCAAAGCTGCCCAAACAGGGCCGGACCAGAGGAAAGCCCAGAGTGGATCGCGTAGGGCTAGCAGGACCGGGGCCCGGCGAGGGTGTGGAGGGGCTGGGGGCCCTCACAGCTCGGCCGTGGACTGGGGGATGCGCTCGGGGATCTTGGTGAGCTTCAGGTTGGAGCACTCCACCAGGCTGGCTTCGCAGCGGCACTTGTGGGGACAGACCACGTCGCTGTTGCACTCGCTGTTCAGCTGGTAATCCTCCGTGCCTACAGTCAGAGGGCAGGGGCGGGAGGCCGAGGGGCCCAGGGCAGGGTCTCCCCAGCCCCCTCAGCCTGTTGCCCCTGCTCACCCGCTGCCACCGCCCCAACCTCCCCCCTCCCCAGGCTGGCCTTGGCCTTCCCCCGCTGGCTCTCCTACCTGGAATGAAGTACTGCTCTTTGGCTGGGGAGAGAAGCAGAAACACCATGAAGCTGGAATCCTCTAGGATGTGCAGAAAGAGCCCAGGCCCCAATCCCACTGCCCAGGAGTGGGCACCCCAGGAACAACACTAGGGTCCCAAATCAGGGCTTCCATGTGAAGGCTGTGCCACAGAGCACAGATGTTCCCCGGGCCATGCTGATGCTGGGGTGGTACCACCCCTAACTGAAACTCTAGGGGAGCACCCAGGCCACGGCAATGCTCATGAGCAATGGCACAAGATGGTGTGGGGCAGAGAGGCCCCAGGCCCCAGACCAGGCTGCGGGCTCAGAAGCTGACTCACACTGTCCCCAGGCAGCTTCTGCTGCCCCAGAGCCCAGGGGAGGCAGCTCTCTCCCTGAGGAGAGTTCCCAGGCTTCTCGTCTGAAAAGCAGTAGCATGAAAGCAAACTGACCTGGGAGCAGAGGAACCTGGGTCCTTGTGTGGCCAGTCCTCCCTCAGGGACCTTCAGCCAGCCCTACCCTTCCTTGAGCCCCAGTAAAATGAGGGGTGGGGCTGTCCACCCGTTCAGATCCAAGTCCACAGTCTTAGGACTACCTGCTCTGAGAAGGTCTCCAGTGGCCCAGGACACCCCTGTTGGAGCTGTCCAGAAAACACCCCCCGGGCCCCTCGGCAGACTGAAGACAGGCAGGCAGGTGGACAGACAGACAGGTGGGCAAGCAGGCAGCTACCTGAGCACCGGAACTTCTTGCTCTTGATCTGCCCAATGCGCTTGTTGGCAAGGCGCCGGGGGCTGGCGCAGCGGGCCCCGCTCGTCTCAATGGGGTTGGTACGCAGGAAGTCTGCCAGCCCCTTGAGGTTACAGTCGCAGATGAAAGGGTTCTGTGCCAGATGCCTGTCCAAAGGGGGCATCAGAGTGGGGGTCAGAGACAGAGTTGCAAACTTGCGCTGACCTCCGCCTGGATAGGGCCTCGCGCCTCCCAGTGGCTCGAAGCCCAGGGCTGGCCCAGGGGGGAGATGCACCACCTGGGGCCACCCCCCACCCCCCGGCACACCCATCAACTGGAGAAGCCTTGCCAGAGAGGGATCGCAGCAGGGAGGGACCTCTGCTGGCTCCGGGCCATCTGGCTGTCCCTGCTACCTCCCCACTCCAAGGCTCATTCTGTCCTCTGCCCATCTACCTACCTGTACCCATCCATCCCCCACCCCACCCTGGGCATTTCACAGACATCAGTAGAGGCAAGAGTGAACTGGAGACTGGCCAGACCACCCCATCGTTCCATGGGTGAGGGGACAGAGCAGGTACTTGAACCCAGTACTGTCAGTGCCCAGAAGGCTTTGATGTGGGTCGTCCCCTCCCTGTGGCCTCGGACAACAGCAGCTTCTTTCCACAGCCTTTGTCAGGAAGGGGATGAAGCCAGGGGTGCCAGGCTGGTCCTGCAGCTGGGGGGACGTATGCCAAAGTGCCTGCTGCAGCCCCTCACTTGTGGGAATCTCCATTCCCACCTCAGGCCATTGGGGCTGTTTCCCCTCACTGTTTCACAGGCTGTCTCTTGACACAAGGGAAAGTCAGAAAGCAATGTCTGGATAGATATTTATTGGGAAGTCACTCTTAGGCTCTTTCCAGGCTGCCTGTGTGACCAGCAGGGTGGACGTGGGGACGGGGCAGCTGACAGGTGCTGTAAGCAACCACATGGGTGGTTTACCCGTTTGTGGGCCCTCACCACCCCGAAAGGCTCAGAGCAAGCCACATCTGAACAACCCCAACAGCCAGCTTGCTGACCTGCATCTGGGCCATCAGAGCAGTGGGCATATCTTGCTTTCTAAACCGAGACACCCATGGAAGAATATTCTAGCACCTGGTCTGGCTACTGTACCTGAGAGCCAATGCTTCTGCATGGAAGTACAGGGAGACAATGCAGGGATGAGCTCAGAGGCCACTTCTCCATCTAATGCTATCACTCCTGGCCATCTACTTAATGGCCTCATACCAGTGTTCTGATGGGGCTACAGGGTTCTGTGAGCAGAGGCATGACCCCTGCTCAGGGTCTGCACCCAGCTCAGCTCAGACCTTGGCCACTCTCTTTCCTGGTCATTGCCTCCTGGGCTCTAGATCCTAGTTGGGATGCTTGGTTGGGGCCTTCTCTGCCCAGACGTCCCTGCCACTCCCCTAGGCACTGTCCTTGCTTTCCTGCCTCCTGTCAGCATCTCCAGGTGGGCTGGGCCCCTCCCACCCCTTCTGCGTCTGGTTGGGCATTTGTCTCCCTATTTAAACTGTCAATCTGCAGAGAAGGCGCGTTTGTGGACTCCCCTTGGCAGAGTTCATTGCTGATTGAAAATGTATTAGGATTCGGGGCTTGCTCTGGGACCCTCCCAACCACCCAGCCACATGTGCCCATGCCTCACTGCCTGGCCTCTGCCTGAACTAATTGCTTCCCTTTGTCACAATCTCAGTAGAAAACTGTTTAAAATCAATCCAATTATGTTGTTCAGGCGCACACTGAAATGTTGAAGGGGTGTGGGGCAGAATATATCCTTTTTAAGAACAGTTATTTGTGTCAAAACCAATCTGTAAAAACTTGAACCACCCACAGAGACAAGTAGCTTAAGTATTTGACACAAATTAGTGTTTTTTTTAACAATTGTGAAGGGCAGGGAGCTGAGAAGGGGAAATGTGCAGGAAGAAGAAAAAAATCATCATGTGAAAGGCACGCCCAGAAATGTGCTGCCTGTGTAGCCATGAACATTTGTCACAGCAAATGTGGATAGAAGGTGGAAGGGAATACTGTATTCTCAGTGTCTTTCTTGGAATATGCACTCAAGAAGTCACAGCTAAAAATCTTATGGGAGAGATACTCAGCATCAAATTAAACCCACAACGAGTGACCACTCCACACTCACTAGGGTGGCTATAAACAAAAAGGCAAATGATACCAGGTATTGGCAAGGATGCAGACAAAACGGAACCCTTATAATACATTGCTGGTAGGAATGTAAATGGCATTTATAGCCACTCTGGAAAACTGACAATTTTTTTAAATGTTAAACACAAATTTCCTACGTGAGCCAGAGATTCTAAGAAAAATAAAAGCATTTGTGCACATAAAGATTTGTAAGCAAATATTCACAGCAGCATTATCATAGTGATTCCAAAGTGTATATCCAGATGTCCACCAACTAGAAAGGATAAACACAATGTGGTCTATCCACTCAATAGGAAATTACTTGGCAATAAATAAAAAGGAACAAAGTACTAGTACATACTGCAATGTGGACGAACCTCAAACACACAGTGCTGGGGCATCCGAGTGGCTCAGTCGGCTAAACGTCTGACTTCAGCTCAGGTCATGATCTCACAGTTTGTGGGTTCAAGCCCCACATCAGGCTCTGTGCTGACAGCTCAGAGCCTGGAGCCTGCTTCAGATTCTGTGTCTCCCGCTCTCTCTGCCCCTCCCCTGCTCGCACTCTGTCACTCTGTCCCTCTCTCTCAACAATAAATAAACATTAAAAAAATAAACAAAAACCACAATGCTAAGTGAAAGAAGTCAGTCACAAAAGATGATACATCATGATGATTCCATTTTTATGAAATGTTCAGAGAAAGCAAAATACAAAGACAGAAATTAGACGAGAGGCTGCCTGGGGATAAGCTGGCAATTGGGACTGACTTTATTTTATTATATTTTTTTTTTGGGGGGACTGACTTTAAAAAGGACACAAGAGATTTTGACAGGGGTGATGGAAATGTTCTAAAATTTGATTGTGGTGATAGTTGAACAATTGTAAATATACTAAAACTCACTGAATTATACACTTGGAACAGGTGAATTTTATGGTATATAAGTTATACCTCATGAAAGTGTTTTTTAAAAGTTTTGTTTATTTATTTTGAGAGAGAGAGAGAACATGAGCAGGGGAAGGGCAGAGAGAGAGACACAGAATCTCAAGCAGGCTCTGCAATGTCAGCATAGAGCCCGATATGGGTCTTGAACCCATGAACTGTGAGATCATGACCTGAGCTGAAATTGAGTTGGACGGTTAACCAACTGAGCCACCTAGGTGCCCCTCATGAAAGCTGTTTAAAAAAAAAAAAACTTAGGGGGATACTGGGTGGTTCAGTCGATTAAGTGTCTGACTTTGGCTCAGGTCATGATCTCACGTTTCGTGGGTTCAAGCCCCGCATCGGGCTCTGTGCTGACAACTCAGAGCCTGGAGCCTGCTTCAGATTCTATGTCTCCTTCTCTTTCTGACCCTCTCCTGCTCATGTTGCCCCCCTCTCTCTCTCTCTTTCAGAAATAAATAAAACATTAAAAAAAAAACTTAGAAAAATCTCTTAGGGCAAGGAAAACTGCAGCAAAATCAGTACTGAGACACAGGCCCTGAGCCATGGACAAATGCAGCAGGATGTAAGGAGTCCATATCAGGCCTGACACACGATTCAGTCAAGGAGTTTAACCATCCAAACCTATATTGAGAATACCCGATTATACCTCAGATTTGTGTTTCTTTTATTCTTGTTTCAAACTGCATTTTGTTTGTTAACATATAATAGTTGTTTCCGAAAGTCCAGTTCTGTTTTACAGCCTTTAAATAATAAAGTCTATCCTTATGGAGAAAGCACAATTGAGGGGAAAGCTGACCACCTTCTTGATGATGGTGAAAGAGATGTCGGAGACCAAACCCCTGCTCTACCAGATGTTGTGTGACCTTGAGTGCATCACATGATCTCCTGCCTCATTTCTTCATCAGTGAAGTCAGGGATGCTAGACACCCACCTCCCCTCCCCATAGGCCACTGTAAGTATCCAATAATATAATACACAGAAAGGTCAGTGGCCTGGCATTCCGTGAAGACTCACTAAATAGCAGTGACTGTTGTTTTCAGAGTCACCACTATTTCGATCTCACCCGGGGGGAGACTTCCTGTTCTAACATTCTGCTCCAGCTCTGTGCCCCACTACTGCCCTCTGGGCAGTGGCCAAGATCTCAGCATGCTGTCTGGTGGTACTCGCTGAAATCCAGCCAGGTGAGCAGACACTGACAGAAGCCATCCTCAGGAAGCGCAATCCATTTGATCTGTTCACTCTCCTTCCACCATGAGAGGGTGACAGGCTCCTCACACGAGGCACTCAGTCCCATTCCCCATCCCCAAGGCTTTCCTGCATGGGGGTCTCCGACCTTGAAATCTCCTGAGCACGTTTCTCTTGGCCATCCCACCAGCTGCATGAAATAATGCACCTTGCCACTGTCTCCCTGTAACTTCTAATTTCACATATTTGGCAAGATTTCCCCATAGTGCTCCATCCCCCTCTCCTTGGCTATAAGTAAGTTAATTAGCAGGCGCAGGCTGCAGGCGGGCACCTGGGCTTTAACAAGTTTGTCTTTGTGGCTAACATCCCTGCTGACGGGTGTGGTTCCTGGGGAGCAGGAGCTGTGCCTTTCTTTGACCTGTTTCACATCCATGCTGGCCCTCCGCGCACATATTACCTGATGGAGAGCACTGTCCGGTGGATAAACAATGGCAGGATGACAAGGACAACAATGGCCATGGCGATATTAACAGTACATGCCCTTAAGCACATAGCTCTGGACCCACAGGTCAGCCCATCAAGTCACACTGCAGATAAGGACTCCTTTTTCAAGCATGACCACAAGGGCAATCTCAAATGAAGAAGGAACGTTAGAATTCAAACATCACTGTTTCAAGATCCCTACAGAATGAATGGGCACAGGCACTGAAATACACAGCTGTGTCCATTACACACAGAGAGAGAACCAGGTATCATACGCCTCCCGAAGGAGGTACACAGTTCTGTGGAGTCATCCTGCCTAAAAAAGAAAAAAAAAATCCGAACCTGACCAAGCTCCCAGATAGAATTTTCTATCTGCAGGACACAGACAGGACAGAGGAGGGTGTGAAGCTACACCTCAGGGAATGGAATCTCCCAGCAATGTGCAGACCGCGGGGAGCTTGCGGATGCAATCATGCAGTGTCTTCAACAAACACAGCTCAAGGAACAAGGCCATGAGGGGACACATAGACACTAAAAACAACTTAGTGATGCATCAGCCAACATCAGCCAGTTGTATCGCCTCGGCCTGATTCAGGGGCGTCAGGGTGGCTCAGTCAGTTAAGCGTCCGACTTTGGCTCAGGTCATGATCTCGCGGCTCTTGGGTTCGAGCCCCGCATCGGACTCTGTGCTGACAGCTCAGAGCGTGAAGCCTGTTTCAGATTATGTGTCTCCCTCTCTCTCTGCCCCACCCCCACTCATGCTCTGTCTCTGTCTCAAGAATAAATAAAAGCTTTGGAAAAAAAAACCCTCCTTATTCAGCCAAGTTATTTTAAAAGCTGTATACCATATATGAGACACTTAATTTTAACACTAATTAGATACCTAATGATATCAAAGAAGTGTTAAATTTTTAGATATAGTAACAGTGCTGTGGTTGTGTTTTCAAACGTTTGTGCCTCTTATACATATGTGTGAAGTCTGTGTAGATGATGAGTGATGTCTGGGGCTTACTTCCAGATAGTCTGGGAGGTAGGAAGGAGGGATGTAATGAAACAAGACTGGCCGTGAGTTAGAGCTGGGCGATGGAAACTAGGAGGCTCACTACGCTGCTTTTAATATGCTTATAATTTTCTCCAATAAAAGATTAAAATAAATGCCTAGGGTTGTTTCTCTCTAATTTTTAATTTATAGCCATCATTGCTATGGCCATATTTCATCTGATTTAAGATATTATCAATTGCGGGGCGCCTGGGTGGCTTAGTCGGTTAAGCGTCTGACTTTCGCTTAGGTCATGATCTCGCAGTTTGTGGGTTCGAGCCCCGCGTTGGGCTCTGGGCTGACTGCCAGCTCAGAGCCTGGAGCCTGTTTCAGTCTGTGACTCCCTCTCTGACCCTCCCCTGCTCACACTGTCTCTCTCTCTCCTAGAAATAAATAAAAAAACATTGAAAAAAATCTAAAAAAAAAAAGATATTATCAGTTGCAAGATGCTCTATTATTTTATGTACTGTCAGAAAAGAACAAAATCCTGCCAATTAAATGACATGCCACTGGTTGTACTATTTATCCCAGCTTAGAGCTGTTAATGCAGAAACAATGGATGTCTTAGAATTGATGTTATTATTATTAATTACAGCCAGCACTTAAGGAGCATTAAGCTCCGTGTAAACATCCCCTTTTCTCTCATAACACCCGCATGAAGAAACTAGTCTCATTTTATGAATGAGTGAACTGAGGCCCAGAGAAGCTAAATAAGCTGCCTAGAGTCACACAGCTAATAAGGGCCACAGGTGGGATTTGGACTCAGGACTATCCGATCCTAAATCTGTGCTCTTTCCTTTGTGAGAGGCCACTCCTGGTAAGCAAAAGGTACAGGGCGAGACAGCTGCCTGTCCCCGGGGGGCTGTCACCTCCCCCTAAGTCTGAGGGGAGGAGGGCACTCACAGGGTCTGGATGGCCCGCAGGGAGGTGAAAGTGCCCCTGGCGAGACTCTGGATCTTGTTGTCATACAGTGAGAGGAGCGACAGGTTCTGCAGATCCTGGAAGGCGTCGGGCCGGACGCAGTTGATCTTGTTGGCGTTCAAGAGCCTGTGGGCAGACCGGGGCTGGGTGGTGAGGGGAAGCACGCGGAATCGGCTGCATCAACACGGCCTGGGCCCCTCCCTGGCACGAAGCATGCACTGTCTCGGGGAGAAGCACGGGGGCACAGGGGCACTGGCCGCCTGCACGTCCGCTCTGTACGGCAAGCCGAGAAGTCCGACTGCCCTCTCTGAGCGAGCAACTGCTACAAGTGGGGTTCTTGGGACGCAGAGCGCACAGTGGTCAGGCCACCTCCCAAAGGCATTTGGGGGGCTCCCCTTCTTTCCAGAGACTGCTGGGTTTCCAGGTATCTGAGATGGGGCTTTTAGATTCTGTGCCTCTTGGAATCTGGGAGAGAACCCTTGCCTGGACCCTCATGGTTCAAGGAGGCTGAGCTGGGTCCGGATGTCCCCCTGCAGGCGGCAAGTCTGTCCCCAGCCTTGCTGACCTCCTTGGGAACACAGGCTGCATCTCGGGACCCTCTCAGCTCAGGTGTCCTGCAACCAGCTCTGAACCTTGAACCCCCCTCCCTCTCTGGCCTCGGCAGAGTCCCAGAGTCCCTCACAGCACCCCCAGCGCTGCCATCATCCAAGCTCCTTGCCTCAACGAGTCCCGCACCCCAAAGAGGCTGACAAGGCTAGTCTGAGAGGCCAGAGGAATACCAGCCCCTCCCTGGGCGCCACCCCAGGACACCTGCAGATGGGTCCTTACAGGAGCTGTAGGGTGTACAGGCCTCCAAACACACCCCGGGGGAGGTCTGTGATCTTGTTCCCATACAGGACCCTGGAGACAAAAGACGGCAGAAAGAGACAGTAAGGACAGCCAGCCAGGACGGACAGGGCTCTGCCAGTTATGCTCACACAATGGCACCACCTCTAAGCCACTCACAGGGCACAGCAGGGCGGCGTAGATTTGTTGTAACAAGTTGCCAGCAGGTGGCAGTAAGGTGTGTTACTAACAGTTCCCCATTTGTAGGTTGCAAAAGTTACTCTATGGGCGAGAGGCAGTAATGATCCCCACTACTGCAAGACCAGCCCCCCAAGACCCACTCTCTGCCTCAAGCATGGAGCCAGCAGAAGCCTGCAAAGGGGCCCTTTGGGGAACTTCATGGGAAATTAACACGGCCCTGGAGCTAAAAGGTTTAAGGAGGAGAAAATCTCATAAGCAGGATAATTAACATATTTTCAGAGAATTACTGGAAGAAAACACGAATGCAAGACGTCACATGCAGAATAAGCTCTGATGTCAAGCAACAGCAAACACCCTGGAAAGAAAGATCAGTTTAGCCGAGCTGAGATCTGGGTGGTGGGGGTCCAAGTGGGTGTCTTATCGATTAGTTCTCTGTGTTGAGCAGGAATTCCGGTATCTGATCCAACAAAAAGCAAAGGTTCAAAAAAGCCACGCAGGCAAGAATGGGTTTGGGCAGAGTATGAAGTACCAACAGGGTTTGGGGACATTCCTAGTATCGCAAGCAGCCCCCCTAAACACCCACCCCTGTCAACGGTTCGGCCTAAGTTAAAAACAGTACATGCAGTGTCTTCACACATGGCTCCAAGATCCTTCCTGGAGGGGGGCATGGCAGAAGCAAAGGCCCTGTGGTGGGATCCAGGCTGCCCCCTCCCCCTGGGGGGGGGCTCAATGTGGCCTGAGTGGGGAAAACAAATGGAATAATAGCTTGGATTTTACCCAGCCAGCACCAGGAAGCCTCTGAGATGATCAGATTTGCATTTGGAAAGATCCCTCAATCTGCTGGGTGGAGAACAGAGTGGAGGGGACAGGGGCTGAAGCAGGGAGACAAAAGTCAGGGTCTGCCAAGGTGGACACTGTCAATGGGATCTATTAACATGACATCAGCACAAAAGTCCCCAAATGGTGGGGAGATGGCTTTGACCAGGTAATCATGAGCAATAGGAACCTAGTGAAGTGTTACTGCTTTTCGGCAAGCCACCTCTAGAATCTGATCTCCTCAGACAATGATGGAGACTCATTATCAGGCTGTCAGGTACAGTTGTGTCGGTTGTATACTGCACAACTTACAGGGTGCCATTCACAAATGGTCCCACCCACTACCTCAGACTCTACTCCAAGAGAATAAGGCTTACACAGAGGCACTGAGCTGGCAGCCTCATGCACTCCCCAAGGAGGAGTTCCAGCCCATTTCACTTCTCAGGGCCCTAATCTAGGCAAGGCATGTGTCCAGTGCTGCCAAGGACAAGCAGAAACACTCACTCTTGAGAGTAACAAAAGGCCCCTTCCAATGGGGAACTCGCCCAACTACAGTGCACTCTCTGTATAGACAAAGTACTGTCGGACCTCAGACAGCAAGAGGCTTGGTGAACTTGGAGTACAAGCAAGGGTGCTGGGAAAAGGAGAGACGAAGTAACATGTCCAAGATGAATTTTTGAAGCTGCGTGACATTTTATAGATTGATAGACCCCCTGCCCTCTACACGCACACACAGTAAACGCTCCAGGGAAGGAAAATGGACAGAAGTGGAGGAAAACACTTTTTTCACATCACTCACCACAACCTGGGATCAGAGCACATTCAGGAGGAAAGATACAAGGTGTGACAGTTGTCACAACTGGAGCTGGGAGTGGCTGCCCTTACACGGGAGCTAGGGAAAGTTTAGGGGCATAGAGTGCTGGGCCTCTGTGGGGAGGGGGTGCCGACAGGAAGGCTGGGCCAAGTCAGAAGACTGCAGCAAAGGATGCTGGGAAAATCCCCTTCGTGGCAGGAAGAGCATCAGAGTTGCCAGGGGTGACAGCTCTGCCTTGCTTCTCGAGGCACTCGGCCCTGGGTTCCTTCTACCCCTTCCCAGGTCAGAGCGTCCACCAGAGAGGAACAGGGAGCTGGGCACGGTAGCCCCCTCCAGGGCCCATCTGAGGGCTGCAGCCCAGGGGTGGGGGGCTCCCTGGACTCTGGCAGACTTGCACTGCTACTCACAGCGAGTTCAGGGAACGGAGGCCCTGGAAGGCATCGGGAGCGATCTCTGCAATCTGGTTGTTGCTCAGGTCTCTGCAAAGTGTGCGGGAGGGGAGATGGCTGAATCCTGTGGCAGCCACCACGCCCCTCCTCCCAGATGCCATGGGAGGGCAGATTAGGAAAATGAGGGGCCAGTTCTCACATCCACCTGAAATGCCCCTAGCCACTATTTCCCCATGCCGTGTGAGAGTCATGCTCTGGCCCGGCAGTCCAGCCTTGGTCTGTTCTTGACAAAGCCTTACCCCGCATCCCAGCTTCCCCTACACCCCTCTCACGACCTAGTAGCACCCCTGCTGAAATAGGAGGGTGACGGTCAGCTCCGGTCACGTGCCAGACTCGGGCTCAACACCCCATTTAGGCCTCACAATGACCCTATGAGGAGGTCACAGCACCGCCATCCGCACTTCACAGATGACCTTGGCAGGCAGAGTCAAGACCTGCCCCGTGGCTGCGGCTGCCTGCGCCAGACTCTTCCTCCTGCCCCAGGCTGACTCCCAGGAAGCAGCAGGAAGCACTCACATCCTCCGCAGTTTTCGGTAGGGAGAGAAGGCTCCTGGAGGGATGGACTTGATCCCATTGAGCTCCAGGCGGCTGCAGAGAGAGCACACAGAGGAAGCCCAGGTCGGGTCACCCCAGTCCTGACCGCTGCCTACTGGGCTCGCCTGCCTAAATGGGTCTTTTGCCCCTGTTCCCAAACTCCGTCTGGAGTAGATGGGCTGGTGGAAGCAGGGAAAGGGGCGGTTGTATTTGAGCCCCATCATCTCAGGCTTGGTGCTGCAAGGGGCCCACAAGTCAGGCTAAGAAACCGACGGCAGTAGACCCACTCAGCTGGGTTGGACAAATGGACCACAGACAGACACCCTCCCCCAGCTCTCTAGAGCTGCCCGGCTTTGGGTGGAGGGCTCAGCCCAGCTCAGGCCAACTGGATCTCCTCCATTTGCATGGAGGGGCCTCGGGCAAGCCCTGCGTGGAGCCTGCCCCCACTCCTCCCTGGACGGCCAGAGGCGGGCCCTCCCCTGAGGGCCGGCACCCCAGTACCCTCCCTGCCCTATACTCACATCTCTGTCATGGTCTCTGGCAGGTTGGCGGGGATGGCGGTGAGGCCTTTGCCACGACAGTCCACGATGCCGTTGCTGCAGGTACACATGGCCGGGCAGGAGCCGGAGGACAGCGTGCAGGAAGGCACTCGCCCCGCTTCCCCTTGGCCTGAGGAAACAGTGGGCTGTGACCTGGGGGTGTCCCGTGTCAGCACCTCCCACCCCAGATACAGTATTATGGGTGGGAACAGGGCACCTAGTGTTTCTCTGAGTGAGGCTGAACCACAGAGCACCAGGGGCTACCACGTAACTCTGTGGGTGCCTGGCACATAGCACGTGCTTGCTAGATGTTTGCTGAACTTGAATCTGAACCTAACTATGTTGCATGAGAGTATGACTCACACTAGGAAATCCTGGCCTAAATTCTGCAGCTCCAGGTTCTAGTCCATGTCACCCAACACTCTGAGACCGAGTCTCCTCATTGGTCACGAGAGAATGACAAGGACTATGTTTATGGGGCACCCACTCTGTGCCACACACAACAGTAAGTGTTACACACGTAGTAACTCATTTAATGCTACTGCTGAACCCATGAGGAGTGTGATGTTATTGTAGCCATTTTGCAGGTGGGAAAACTGAGTCCTTGATATTTATTAATTTGTGGAAATCACACAGCTAATAGGTGGTAAAACCAGGATAAAACCTAGTGGCTGATAGAGATTTTTCTAATTGAAGTACGACATACAGAGTGCACCATCTTAAGTGGAGAGCTGCTGAATTTCTACTGATGGATACGCCCATAGAACTGTCCCCAGACACAGCATTTCTATTACCCAGGAAGGCTTTCCCATGCCCCTCCTCCAAGGTAACCACTATTCTCAGATCTGTCACCAAAGTTCTGCTCTCCTCACTTGCGGACTTGACATAAATGAAATCAGAGAGCAGGCCCTCTTCGTGTCTGGCTTCTTTCGCTCAATATAAAATCTTTGAGATTCGCCCATGTCATGGTGTGTATCTGTACTTTGTTCTTTGTCACTGCTGAGCAGTAGTCTATTGCATGGTTATATCATAACAGGTTAATCCTTTCTCTTGCTGGTGGACATTTGGGTTGTCTCTAACTCTGGGCTATTATGAAAGAAAGCTGTCTTGAATATGCTTGGACATGATGTGTTTGCGAAGGTTGAGAACGGATCATGGATAGGGTAGGAGGGGAAGATGGGTGGGGAAAGGAAGTGATGAGTAGGGACAAGAGGTGATGGATGGGAACAGGAGATAATGGGTGAGGACCGGAGGTGTGAGTGATCCAGGCGGTGGTGGATAAGGGCAGTAGGTGATGAGTAGAAAAAGGAAGTGATAGGTGAAGAGAGGAGGTCATGGATGGGCCAGATGTCAGTGGGTGGTGACAGGAGGTAATGAGAGGGAACAAGATGTGGGGGGGAGGGGCGGGGGTAGCAGGAGGCAGGTGACGGGCAGTCGACAGCCCCAGCAGGGCCTGCACCCACCTGAGCAGCTGAACTCACTCTTCTGGACCTCGGCCACGTTGAGGCCACGCAGGCTGGCGGGGCCCGAGCACTGAGTGAAGAGCCCGATGGTTGGCCGCTGCCTAAGCCACTGGGAGAGCCAGGCCAGGTGGCAGTCACAGAACAGGTGGTTGGAGTGCAGGCGGCTGCAGGGGACAGGGCGGCTCAGGGCCCACCCCCCGGGGCCACCAATGGGATTTCCTGCGGTGGCGGGACACCTCTGGCCGCCGCCCCCTGCCCCCTCCAGCCGCGGGCTGCAGCGTGAGCAGCCATCAGATCCTCACACTGAGCTCACACAGACCCACTGCCCCGAATCACGTACCTCATTTTGAAACACAAAAACAAAGCACCTGTTCTCCGAGTTGAAACCAAATGTAAGACATTCCATATGCTTCCATTTTAGGTCACTCCCCTCCCCCTCTGGCTCAGATACCCCCAGCCAGGGCTGACCACTGAGGATGCAGAGAAGGCGCTCCTTCTTCTGCCTGTGGAAGTCTTCGCCCTCTGCCCCCCTCCTCCCCCGCCAGGGCCCCAGCCCAGCTCGCCCGCCGTCCAGGCTACCCCGGGCTGACTCACAAGGTGCGCAGCTTGGGCATGTGGTTGAAGCTGGACACGGGGATGGTGCTGATGTTGTTGTTGTTCAGGGTCCTGATCAGGGGAAAGCAGAGCCGTTCAGCGGCCACGCAGCAGGAAGTTACACGCGAAGGAGGGACAGGACTTCTCTCTGACAAGCACGCAGACTCTCACACCCAGATCCACGACGGGGCCCAGAGGCTCTGCCCGCCCAGGAGCGCGACACAGAGCTGCCCTCAGGGAAGTCCCCGAGTGGGGCCAGTGGCTAACAGGCAGCTGCCACAGACTGCAGGCACACAAAGCAAGGAGAGGGCACGGCCGACCACGGGCTTGAGCCAGTTTGGAAGTCAGGGTGGGGGTTCACAGGGGGAGACAGGGCGGCATTCCTGCTTCAGGTGTCACAAAGTCCTGGAGGACACTGACACTTCCCTGGACCTCACGTGAGCAGGGTGAGCCTGGGTCACACGCCACAGGCATGACGCCGTGAGCACATGTCCCCCCACCCCCGTCCTGGGTGGCAGGTCTAGGGCAGCAGAGAGCACCGCCTCTGTCCTGGGCTTAGCACTGCCTCCCAGGGCATCCCACGCCCTGTGCTGCTCCCGGCCCCACTCCAGCTGCCGGGGCCTCAGCTCCTGCATTAGTGTGGCCCCGCGGCCTCTGCGGCCCTTCCCTCGCTCTACTTACAGCACCTCCAGCCCCCGCAGAGCCCGGAAAGCCCCTTCCTCGATACAGCTAATCTGGTTCTTGTCCAGCTGTCTGTGGGGCAAAGGAAAGTTGTACAGGAATGCACGTTGCCTAGAGCAGGGGTGTCTTCCCACATGTTCTGATCCAACACTCATTAGTTTAAAAAAAAAAAGGCCTGGCCCCAGTCACCCGTCCAGCACATATATGTTCATCCAAATAGCAAATACCATAAAACCTTGGATTGCGAGTACTTGTTCTGCAAGTGCTCCGTAAGATGAGCAAATGTTTCTAACAAATTTTAATTTGATAAACAAAAAATGCCTTGCGATACAAGTGCTACGCGACAGCTAATGTCACATGATCACAGATGACCAATGGTTCTTGAAGTTCGCTTTGATATACACATGTTTCGGATTACAAGCATGTTTCCAGAATAATTTTTCACAAACCAAGGTTTTACTGTACTCGTAAAAGTTTCAGTTCTTTCTGATTTAGTTAAACAGTACATCTAAATAAAAGTTGTATTCTATTCCTCCACCTAACTGCACATCCTCTGGGGAACAGGTGCCCACACCCCCACCGTGGAGACCACCTAGAGGGTGTTGGCAGCTAGAAAATGGGATGGGCTCTCCCCAGGGCGGTGGCAGTCAGTGCTGGCAAACAGATTTTGCCCTGAGTGCCAAGCGAGACTGACTAGCCATGGCCACCTGGAAGGCTGCCTTTGGAATAAACCGAAGCTGTGATTTGGGCCCCTGGGAAAGAATGCTGTGCTCCATTGTCTACTACAGACATGGGGTCGGGGAGCGGCACACAAGCTGGGCACGTGCCATCCCTGCAGCAGTCAGAGCTCGGGGAGGTGGCACGTCTACGCCAGAACACATCCGAGTAGTAGGAATAAACCATTACATTTATTTTTTTTAAGATGTAATTTTTTTTAAGTTTATTTATTTATTTTGAGAGAGAGAGTGCAAGCAGAGGAGGGGAAGAGAGAGGTAGGGAGAGAGATAGAATCCCAAGCAGGATCTGCATAGTCAGCAAAGAGCCCGACATGGGGCTTGAACCCATAAACCGTGAGATCATGACCTGAGCTGGAATCAAGAGTAGGACACTTAACTGACTCAGCCACCCAGGCGCCCCTAAACCATTACATTTAAATAGCACTTGACAGAGTGTATTTATTTCCATGTCTCGTCTAAACTTCAGAACAAGCCTGTGAGGTAAATAGGATGTTCCCATTTTACAGAACAATATATTGAGTTTCAGTGAAGTTAACTGATTTCCAGCCACTTACACAATATGTACCTGGAAGAGAAGATTCAAACCCAGCTCTCTCAATCTACTGAAGGGCAGAGCATAGACTTTGCCATTTAAATGCCCCTCACCAAAGCACCCACAGTCCATGGCATTCCCTTCTGCCTGGTCCCCAAAGGCTGCCTGATTCCTCTGACCCCAGATTGTTCCAGAAGACCATGCTGGCACCAGTCATCTCAGAGCCCACACCAGCGCCTTGTCTGCCTGGACCATAGGGCTCGGGGAGACACACAAGGATGCTGCAGGGGTGGCCCTCCAGCCCTCCACCCTTCTCCCTCCCAGGCCTGGACTCACAAGTTTTTGAGGTCTGTAGCTCCACGAAAAGCTTTTCTGGGGATGGCCTGGATGGTGTTCTCACTCAGGTCCCTGAGAGGATAAGCCAGAGGGAGAGAAGCACGATCAGAAGAGACTTCTCCAGAGTGCCCTGATGCGTCCGGGAGGTCAGGGTGGCCACAGAGTGCTCCAGCACCTGAGGCAGTGCCCGGCACAGGCCCGCTCGTTAAGCAAGCGTTTGTTGAATGAATAAATGAATGAATGAATGATGGAGCTGGAGAGAGGTGCCCTGCCCTGGAGGGAGCTTTGTCCCCAGTCATTTCCCCTCTCTGCACAGAGTGGGTTGCAGATGGAGGGACAAGCTTGGGGTGGCCATGACCAACTCTGCCAGCTCCCGGGGAGGTCAGCTCAGCCCCCAAGGCATTACGCAGGGCTGTAAGGGAGCAAGCCACTGAGGGGCTTCTTTGTTAACAAGCCCACAGCCACCCCAGGACCTGCGGTAAGTGCACGCATGACTCAGTCTCTGTTTCACCAAGGAGGAACAAGGGCTGGGGAGAAAGGCATCACCAGTAGCCCAGTCAGTATGTGGCAGATTCAGGACACGGAATCCAGGCCGGGTCTGACTCAGAGATCCTGTGCTGAGAGCCTGTGGTCAGCAGAGCCACCTCGAAGAGCCTGAGCCCACACGGAGTCTGGCCCCTGCAGCCTGCTTCTCGTGCTGGCAGGGAGCACAGTGCTGCCTCCCTGCCCTGCAGCTTGGATGGCAGAGGTCAGCAAGGACTCCACCGTCTCCCCATTATTAATGCCCGATATAAGGGCATGGAGTTGCAGGGACCCTGCAAATTCCTGGCTTCTGCAAGTTCCCAGACTAGCTTCTGGATACTTCCTCTGGTCTGCTGGCGGACAGGACCCCTGGCACCTGTCCACCAGCCTCCCCCTTCCTCTCTCAGCATCCTTACTACAGACTTTACAGCATCCTTACTACTGCCTTTCCAGGGCAGTGTTTCCTCACTGCAGTGGTGGCATCAACAGCCCCTGCGCTCCAAGCATGCCCCCCAGCCCAGCACTGCCTAGCACATCACATACCCAAACCCTGTTGACCTTGCTCTAACTGTGGAGCAAATAACATTACCATCCTCCTCTTCCAAAAGATAAAGGGGAGGCTTAGAAAAATTCAAGGGAACACAGCTGTCGAGAGGTGGCTCTAGGATCTGAGCCCTGGCAGTGAAGGTCCCTCCCAGAGCCACCCCTTGCACAGCCTCACACAGAGCATGCACTGGAAGTGGGGGAAAGGAGGTCCTCCCCTATTTTGCAGAGGGGGGACCTGAGCTCCAAGAAGCGAAGCAATCTGCCCAAGGTTAAACCAGGATGGGGACCCAGATGGTTTACAGGAGAGCCCTGCATCAGATGTGCCCTCAGGGTCCACAGCTGGGCAGCTAGGGGATGACTGTCCTGATGTGGGGTCCTGTGCTGGACAGCTCCACAGACCCCAGCCCCTCTGGGCCAACCCCACAGGGCTTTGACCATGTCCCTCCTTTCAGCCATTCACCCTAGAGGCCCTACGGTTCACTGCCAGCCCCCCCCCTACCCCCAGCACACACTCCCTGGGCTCTGAGGGCCCCCACCCCTCCATCTGGGTTTTTGTGCTGAGACAGAGAAACGGAAGCACAGTAGTAGAATGCACGGACCCTTCCAATCCCGACTCCCTGGCTGTGTACCTGTTGGTCACCCCCTTTCCTGAGCTGCAGTGTCCTTCAGTGCAAAGTGTGGATACGAGCCTGGCAAGGACTGTCCCCACCAACCCTATCCCCCTGCATTGAGTATGAGCTCCCTTCCTTCCAAACCCCCCAGCCTCTCCTGTCCCCCCGCCCCCTAACTGGCCCCAGGAGTCTGTGGTCTGGAAGGGCAGCAGCAGCAGCCCATTCTCTGTTCTCTCTCCCCTTGAAGGAAGGCTTCTCAAGGCTATGACACACACTTCTCTCCTTCAAAACTACACACAACCCCCATCACGGCCTGTGCTCTGCTTCACTGTAACTGGCTGTCCCCACCTCTCCACGCAGCAGCTGCCCGCATCCACCTCCCAGCAGGTGGCAGTGGGTCTGGGGGGGCGCTCGTGTCCACCTTCCTCTCCTTCCCCCACCCGCATGCCAGTCTTCACTCTCTTTCCAGAGTCTTTAATCTCAGTTGTCTGTGTGCATCTCCAGCACACCTGTTTAGTCTGTCTGTGCTCCTGGAGACATTCTGTGCACCCCACAGTCTTAGGCTGCCCCAGAGCTGCCTCTGGCTTCCCCTTCCACACCCCCCACCTTGCTTTTCCCTTTCTCAGCAATTCCCACCAGCCCCTCCATCTTGAGAGGACAGGAGAGCATTTCAGCTTTTACTTATCTGCCTAATCCTATTCTCACCTCTTCCTTGCCTAGATAGCTCTGTCCTCTGCCCATTTCCTGTTATGCAGGTAATTGCTACATACAACAGAGTACAGGTAACACACTCTGTACTGGCCCTCCTGTGCCCTTGGTCTGTGACCTTGATCTCTCCCTCTTCTTAAGTAGACGCTGACACCAGGCAGCATAGCTGGACAGGTGAACTCCAAAATTGGGAGCAAGGGCTGTGCAGCCCACACAGGTAAACAAGAGACTGCCAGCACTCAGAGGGTCACAGTCACATGACTTCTCTCTCATCATTCTCTCTGGGAGAAGCCAGCCACCAAGTCAAGTAGCTCTCTGGAGAGTTCCACACGGGAAGGAACGGAAGCTTGCCAACAGCCAGCACTGGCTGCCAGCAGCATCAGTCAGTCATCAAAGAAACATTCTCCAGCCCCAGTCATGCTTTCCAACTCTGCAGCCTGCTATGTCCGCACGCTGCCCCGCAGAATTCAGACATTGAAATCCCACTGCCCAGTGTGACGGTGTTAGGAAGTGGGGCCTGAAGGAGTGCCGAGGTCATGGAGGTGGAGCCCTGGTGAGTGCGATGAATGATGAACGGCCCCATAAAGGAGGTGTGAGGGGGCTCCGCTGCCCCCCCCCCCACCTCGGGAGGACACAGCTGTGAGCCGGGAAGTCTCTGGGCCAGGACGAGGGGCCTCACCCAACCCCAGTGGGCTGGCACCGTGCTCCTGCACTCCCCAACGTCTAGCACTGTGAGAAATAAACATTTTTGGTTTATAAATGACCCAATCTATGGTATTTCTGGTACAGTAGCCTGCACAGGCTGACACACAGCCAGCCAACATCACAAGTGCAATCTCATTCAAGACCCTGAGCCAGGACCACCCGGCCGCCTATACATACTGTGAGAGGAGGAAGGTGTGTTGTCCTTTTCGGATGCTACACTTCGAGGTCATTGGCTACACAATAATCCATGACAAAAACAGGGGTCCTTCTGGGGAACGGTCCAGGAGAGACCATGACGAAAACAGGGGTGCTGCCGGAGAACGGTCCAGGGGCGGCCTAGAAGCTGTGCTAGAGAGTGTGGTCTGACTCTGAGGGCATGAGGGCCCCTGCAAGCCTGTGGGGAAGCCAGGGTCTCGCTCAGACGTGGAGTGGACGGGCTGGAATCTGTTCACAGTGAGCCTCCACCACTTGGCGCTTTGGGCCTCAGTCTCCTTGTTTGTCAAAAGCACAGGCTGGACCAGATGATCTCCTCATCTCCCCACAGAGTCCCACCATATGCCAACTGCTCCAAGACATAGTGGGTGAGGCGCTTGGTTCCCTGGGCATCTGAGACCCCAAGGGGAGCCCATTGCTGACGGCACGCTTTCTGAGAGAAGCAAGTCTGAGAGAGGACACACACAACCACCTGCCCTCTCCTTCCCACAGGGAACCAGGAGAAGGAAGCATGTATGGCAAGGGCAAGACACGAGCGGGGGGCCAGCGGCCTGGGGACTTCTACAGAGTCAGGAAGACAGAGGGTGCACAGGAGGTGGGGGCCTCCAGCAGGGCGGCCCCTTTGGCCCCAGCTGGCAGTCCACCCTTCAGCCAGGCCAGGGAGGGAACTCTGGGCCAGCCCCTCACATCCATTATTCCCTTTAATCTTGTCCACAACCCTGCAAGGAAAGGTTTTTTTATTTGTATTGATTCGTTTATTGATTTAAGCCAATCTTGTTCCAGAAAGGCTTTAAGGTGGCTTATAGGGCTTTACAAAACAGCAAGAGAGCAAGAGTGAAAAGTGGGGCGAAGAGAAGAAAAATCAATGGCGGGTGCCAAGAATGCAGCACGATGTCATCCCCACACATGTCAGGTCCAGGGCAAAGCATGGGCTCTAGGCTTTCCGAGAGCTGATGCAAAAGGGGGAGACTGGTCCATTAACAGCATCCTGAATATATGTGTACATTTAAAAGGACCAGTTTCTCAGGAGGACAGCTGTTTGGGGAATTGAGACAAGAATTCTCCAGGGATCCTTATGAAAAATGACAGTGTGGCCTAATCAATAACACTAGATCCTTATAATAAATGGGTTTCAAGTGTCTGTTTCTTATAATGGCATTGCATCAAAGTACAGTTCAGGAAATGCAATTCTATAAGGACTCAACAGCAGGAGCTAAGTGGGGAAGGAAGGGGCAGAAAGAGTGTGTGCAAAGGCAGGAGATGGACTAGAGCCTGGTGCAATCAGGGGTAGTTAGGTTTGCCTGGAGGAGAAGGCACTGGGAATGTGTCTGCAGGAAGAAGGCTTTGCAGGCCTGAGGTGACAGTTTAGACCAGAGAGGCGTCTGGTCCAACGGCCTTTTAGGCATTGCTCAGGGGCCCCAAAGCTTCCAGAGGAAAGATGCTGCCCCCAGGCAGGCAGGAGATTTGACATCAAGAGCCCATCCATGAGGTGAGGGTCCAGGGGTGGGGGTGGAGCCATCCAGGGCCAGCCCACAGGACCAAGCAGCCCACGCTGTTAAAATGAATAAAGGAACCTGAACTTAAGTAAGACCCAGGAAGAAGCCAGCCTCTAGACCAGAGGAAAATGGGTGAGCTTTGGAAGCTGGGCTTCCAAGGAAAATGCAGTATGCTGGCAGCACAGGAGGGGGTAGAAAGAGCTTGAACTGTTCAAGGAGAAAGACCCAGATTCAATTCCTGCTTCTACCATTTATCAGACAGGGATCCCGG